TATGGGCCCTTTAAAACCATTTTCAGCTATTTTGAAGCACAAATAATCTCTACTACCTTTTATTATCAAATCAAACCTTTGTTTTTGACCCATCGTTGCAAATTTTCAAACAAAATTCAGAAAAGTGTGACAAATCTGTTTAAGGGGCCCATATTAAACTACTTTTGGATCTGTGTTATAATATTTCCTCATCAAAAACAAATCTGGAATTGTGTTTTGTTACATTCACACATGTTTAACACACAAATATTGTTAGTTATTTTGGCTTCTTGAGGTATTTTGAAGTTCTCTCAAACAGAAAATACCCTGTTCCACCTTGTGATGTCATGTGGTAATGCAGAAAGTGCTCCACTGTGTTTTTAAACTCCATACCCCTTCACTAAAATTGCCTGGAATTTCCAATCTCTACTGAGGATAAAGATAAAAGGTAGCTGTTAACTTGAAAACTACCACTTCATGACATCACAAGGTGGAACAAGACAAGACATTTTAAGCTTTAAAGATGTAAACCAGGGGTGTCAAACTCATTTTGGTCCGGGGGCCGTATCCAACCTACTTTGATCCCAAAGGGGCCGGATCAGAAAACTCATGTCATATAAACCCCAAAAATAACAATAAATTCAAATATTTGTGCAGAGAAATGCAAATCTATTACAGAAATCTTTTTTAATTGATGAACTCTTTCTTATTATAATAAATATAATAATATTATGAACAACCTGAAACTTTAAGAAAAATTCAATTTCAACAAAATATTTTAACATGAACTTGTATGCAAACAGGAATAAGTAAATTTTTCTTGGAAAATCCTGCACTCTGTGTCCACTTTTCTCATTTTGGACATTTTGTTGATCAGGGTGTCACGGTCAACAGTCAAAACAATCGTCCTTTAAGAGTGTTTGGAAAGAGTCTTCATTTGTGCTGCTCCGGTGGGAGGGGCCATGCACAGAGGAGCATGGAGATGCTGCTATGCTCAGCACCGCAGAAAATTACCAATATTTTAATAGAAAATATAATAAAAATATTTTAGTAGAAAATCACCCAAGGGCCACATTAAAGGTCATGGAGGGCCGGATCTGGCCCCCGGGCCTTATGTTTGACACCTGTGATGTAAACAGACCAATAATAAATGGTTACTCAAACATGTGAACAGCTTCTGATGAGGTAACAACATTATAAATTAAGATTAAATGTCACACGCTCAAGTCAATTTTGTGTAATATAGGCCCTTTAATACAAATTTTCTAACTAAATGAACAAAAGAGTGACAAGTTTATTTAATAAAAGGGGAAAGGGGGCACGTAAGGACCATACTGATGAGTTATTCCGCTCACGAGTCGCTCATGGCTTAAAACTGCAGCATGTGTACTTCATTCATTAAGAGCTCCCATCTGTCGGAGCTGGCGGGAGGCAACCAGGCTTTTTGTAACCATGCATCCCAAATGTGTATGCTTTTTTACACGGCGCTCTGCTACATTTCACTCTGGGTTTCATTGTTAAAAATCAACCTGGTTTTGTCGAAGACTTTTTAAATTCGTCTCATCTTGGTGCTTACACAAAGAGGTACACGAGAGGTTGAGGTTTTTGTGTCTGGGTTTCATCAGTATAGTGACGGTAAAGGGCTGGATATAGGTTTACGCAATCATACGGAAATGCACACACTTTTGTCAGGGCAGTTTGAGGAGTGGAAGAACCAAAAGTGTCCCTCCTCCCAACGGCGAGGTCAGCCCAATGGTCCCACAGTCCCATGTTCCCTCATTTCTAAGATTTTCACAAAGTCACGTCATTTTTTTAATCTTTATACCACCTTTAAACGGACGACTTAAAGCAGTGGTCTCCAAAAATTCCAGAGAGCTACTAGTTTTAGCAGTCACAAGAAATTTAGTATATAAAAGAGCCACAGCAAACCTTAGATGAGGTACAGTTAGATTAGGTTGACCAGACGTCCCTATTTACCCGGGACAGTCCCAGTTTTGAGCCTGTGTTCCCAATCCCAGCAGACTTATACAAAACCACTGATTTATCCCAGTTTTATACAAAAAATGTTACAGGTGTCCCTATTTTTGACCAATTTCATCCCTGCTAACAGTAAAGAAAGGCGTTACTTGTCATTTGTTTAGGTGAAATACAGAAAAGCTGCGGAAAAATGACCAAAACACAAAGAAAATGTAATTATACTGACTCATGTTAATCATGAATGGGCCGAGTGCAGAAAAGTCTTTTTAATTACGCATTCGACTCACACTGAAGGTGTCTCAGTTTTATATTTTGAAAATTTTATCACCCTAAGTTAAATACCTATAAAACATAAACCATTATCAATCTATTAGTGCACAAAGTTGGGCATCAAAATGATACATGTACAATTGTAAAAGGCATTTAATTGATCAAATTTTATTTATTCAACACAATACATATAATTCAGAAATCCCTTGGCAAGCTACTTGGAAGGGACGGAGAGCTACTGGTTGGAGACTCCTGATTCAGAATAATTTCAACCTAGGATCCTTTGCACCATAACCTCTACATTACATCTGTAGTCAACTGTGGCTGGATAATAGATTGGGTGTAACTGATTACAAAATTGGGAGAAAAAGGGATAAAATATGACGCAAATTAATAAAAAAGGAAATGTGGGAACATAAGGTGTAATTTTGGAAAAAACAAAACAAAACAAAAACAAACTTAGAAATGAGGGAGCAGAGAGCTGTGGGAACATAGGCACGCTCTCTCTGTAACCTTCTGCAGCAAGATGGATTCTTGGCGCCCGCTGGTGCGATAGAGCTGAAAGGTGATGGGCGACCAAACACAGAGCAGCACAGAGGTCAAGTGTGTCAAAGACAAAACAACCAAACGAACCAAAACAACGCCGACACACTTCAGTCTATTTTAGCGTAAATACAGACTATTTTGTTTGTGAAAAACATGCAGAAGGTAAGTGACTTGAGGACAAGGAAAATGTCTGTGATTTTCTCTCCATTGGATGTAAAAAAGGTTAGATTTTTCGTCTTGTTGGCTCTTGTGACTCTTCAACCAATCAGATTCAAATAGTCGTCATGACACTCCAGGTTTTCTTCTCTCTAATTTAATGTACTCAGGACAGTTACAGAGGATGCCTCAGAGTATTTTAAAAGACGGGCAACATCCATTAAATTCAGAGTTTCAGGTGCTTCCCTCTGGTCATAGGCTTCTTTTTGTTTTAAAAGGAGCTTCGTTCCAGCCGCTATCATATTTATAAATTGTAATCTATTTATCTATCAATTTCAGAACATTTGTCTTGGAAAAATTGTGCACTGGAGCACAGTAACACTTTATTTTGTTATTGTGTTTTATACGTGTTTATTGTGCATCTTGTGAATGAATGAAATGTGAAATGTGGGACCAGCCTCTCAAACCTGCAAAACAATTCTACCTCCGGGTATAAATAAAGCAACTTAACCTAACCTAATGTCTCTCTCTCTTTTAAATTGTATAACAATTATTTATGTTTTGATTTGTTTGTTTGTATTTCTTATTCTGTAAAGCACTCTGAATTACTTTGTGTACAAACTGTGCTATATAATTAAACTTGCCATGCCTCGAACTCTTTCACCAAGAGCCATCTCAGATTGATCATGTGCAGAGCTCAGTTGCTACAGAGATCAGTTTGGCGTGAAACAGGTTACCTCCTCTGGGCCTAATTCCATGCATCTTGCTTCATATATTTGATGTCTTCCATATGTTTATAAAATATAGGAAGTTGTAAAAAAAAAAAACACAGAACAAGACGGTGTGTCCAAAGTTTTGACTAGTAGTGTATATTCAACTTAATTTCAATTAGTGAGTCATGGAAAATATAAGTATACCCCGTATTTTTCAAACTATAAGTCGCACTTTTTTCATGGTTTGGTCGTTTCCTGCGACTTGTACTCCAGTGTGATTTATATATTAAAATGTTCACACTGACAGCCGCGAGAGGCTCTAGGCTTGTGTGTCAGTATCTGCTCCTCCTATTACTTCTATGCCTCGGTCACTTCGCGCCCTAATGTGCATGTCTCCTGCAGAAAAGGCAACTGTCCTGCTGCAAGTGGTGAAATATACAGCAGAGGACGGTAATCGAGCAGCAGAAAGAAAGTTCAGAGTAAGCGAGAAACTTGTGAGGGACTGGCGAAAGGCGGGGATGGAGAACACAGCTTCACGGTAAGGAGGGTGCACCATGTAACTTTCCTGGAAGTCATTGGATGGATCGACAAAGCCTGGACTTTAGTGACAACCAAAACCATCCTGTCGGGATTCAGAAAGAGCAGAATAATTCTAACTCGAACTGATGCTGAGTCTGACAACAGCTACGCAGAAGAGGAAGCAACACTCAGTTTACCTCCAGAGGTTGCGGAGTTGCTCAGAAGTGACAAAGAGGATGAAGAATTCCATAGATTTAGTGATTTGCAGTGAGATGGAGAGTTTGTTAAACTTGTTCTGTTCTGTTGTTTAAGCTATAGTTATCTGAAGAACTGTTCATATGTGAAATTAACAGCCTTTTGTTCTCTGTTTTATTGTTTTTTACTATAACTTGCCTTTCAAGATGTGATATATTCTTTTCTTCTACATTATGCGTTCTTTGGCTGGTGTGGCTTATACTCCGGAGCGACTTATAGTCCAAAAAATACGATAATCTATATTGGCAAATATTAATTATCAGACAAAACAGGAACACATTTATCAATATAAAAATCCTACCACCCGTTGCAGAACACCCTCACTATTATTGTACTGGCTTCACCAGATTTTTTCCAGCAGAGAAGAGCGTTAAGCGTTTGACCGAGTACAGATAAAATCTACAGATCTAATTAAGAAGCGATAATGGGGTGCTCAGAACGCATGACGTGAGTGAGGAATAACTGCAAACTGTTTAAAATGAACTAGTTCTGTTTTCACTGTAAGATTCAGGCTTTAAGGTTATTTTCTGTACAGATTTACATCCCAAATATGTAAAGTTAGTCTCTGCTGGGGGCTTCCTGTACCTTCTCAGACCTGGAGTCGATCTCAACCTCGGCGATCTTGGCCCATTTCTGCCAGAAGTTCGGGTCGTCCAGAGAAATGTCCGTCCTGTTTCCAGACGACACGAAACTGGCCTGAAAAACACAAAACAATGAGTTAAAGTAATAACAATAATATTTATATATATACAGTATGTACACTTCCAGTCAACAGTTTTTCGTTTTGTTTTTTTCACCATTTTCCAGATCTACAGATTGACACCAACAGGGAAAAGATGATTATAAAAGATGTGAAGCAAACATAGTTATAGCGACTTATTGTACATTAACAAATAAATAAATACATAAATAATGAAATAAATAAAGAAATAAATGTGGTAAAAATACACACATTGCAAGTAAAACGTTTCTCTCATTTAATGATTTTTGTTCTTTACTTTTACTACTTTCTACATTTTATACACATACAGAAGACATCAAATATATGAACTATGATAAGTATGAATTATACAGCAAAGAAAAAATGTAAATAACTATATATATGTTATATTAAAATCCTCAAAATAGTTATAGTTAGTTGAGTTATTTAACATTTTTCTTTACTACATAAATCCATGTACACTACAGGTCAAAAGTTTTAAAACACCCTAATTTTTCCAGTTATTTATTGCAATTCAAGTCGTGCAAGTCCAATGAAGAGCTTGAAATGGTACACAGATAAAAAGATTAAAGATAACAAAACACAACTCCAAGCTCTGACCAAAACTACCTCAGGAAAAAAGAACAAGCACAGTCTCCAGAATTAAACCCCATCGAGCTGGTTTGGGATGAACTGGACAGAAGAGTGAAAGCCAAACAAACTACAAGTGCCACACATTTATGGGAACTTCTGCAACAGACTTGGGAAGAAATTTCTGAAGAATATTTGATTTCTAGTGTAAAAACAACAAGCCACGAGTGTGTTCAGCTGTTACATCTGCCAAAGGTGGCCACTTTCATGAATCAAAAGTTTAGAAGAGTTTCGGTCAAACTGGAAAAAGTGTGGCGCTTGCTTCGTATATTTAAAGGGGCATTGTGTAACTTTTTGCTGGAGAGTCCATCACCTGCTTGTTGCTATGGATATATCATGTAACAAGTATGACATTAAACAACTCTACCTTACATTTATTCAATTACAGGTGGTTTTATAGCTCAAAAATACCAAGAAAAGCATTCATTCTGACTCTGAGCAGGGTTTACTCTCCACAGATCTGACCTGTAACTAAAGTAAAGTAAAGGTTTAATCCCAAACTGTGACAAATTCCAGACCGAGCAATAACATTTCCACTTAGAAAATAAGTTGACGAACCCTCCACTTAAAAAAGTTTAATTAAAATACACCTTTATCATCTTCTGTGTATATAAATCAAATGTAAAAATTAGTAAACATAAAGAAAACTTTTGACTGGCAGTGTATGTATTTTTATGTCATTTATGTCATTTTCTACTAAATTTATTTCTTTATTTAGTCATTTATTCATGTTCAATAAGTGGCGCTGACTCTGTTTACTTCACATGTTTTATAACAGTGACTCAACCTTTTCCCTGTTGGCGTCAATCTGGACATAAACAGCAGCACTTCGTATTCAGATCTTCATATTAGATCAGAAAAAAAGCCGAGAGTTGGTAGCGAGGTTTATTTTGAGCACTTTTCACCACCGAAATAACTTGAATGAATTAATGAGTTAATCGCTATGGCAACGGCGCTAACTTGGTACCACTCTGTAAAGGAACTGTTTAACCCAGAATATAAAAAAGATAATGACCAGTGTTAGATCCATTACAAACACTTGTCTATGCAGTATGTTTCTATTTTATTTTATTATTTTTGCATTTATTTTCCAATCCAATCCAACTTTATCTGTTTACGACTTTCATAATCAAACCAAAGACCAGTTTAACCTGTAAATCATTTGTTCATTTCGTTTTTCAAAATAAAACCAAAAATAATTCATTATTTGTCTCCAAAACCAAAATGAAAAAACAGATAACGATTTGTTTTTTCAGTTTTCGATTGTGTGTTTAAATGAATAATGGAAAAAACGGATACTGGCCGTTCCCCGTTTCTGTCACTTAAACTGTGGCGCGTATGGACTGAGCCAGGACTGAGCCAGGACTGAGCCAGGACTAAAACAACACTAAACCAGGTCTAAACCAGGACTAAACCAGTTTCAGTCCCATTCTCAGTCTCAGTCTCAGATCCTGGTCCTGGTCTTAGTCCTGGTCTCATTTCTGGTCTGGGCCTTATCTGGTCCCGTTCTCAGTCGCAGTCTCAGTCCTGGTCTCAGTCCTGGTCTCAGTCCTGGTCTCAGTCCTGGTCTCAGTCCTGGTCTGTACCCGGTCTAGTCCTGGTCTCAGACGTGACACCAGACAGTCTACACAGGCACACCTCCGGGCCCGTGCTGACACTCCTGGTCCTGTTTTAGTGCTGGTTTGGTCTCAGTCCCGGCCTCAGTCCCGGCCTCAGTCCCGGCCTCAGTCCCGGCCTCAGTCCCGGCCTCAGTCCCGGCCTCAGTCCCGGCCTCAGTCTCGGCCTCAGTCTCGGCCTCAGTCTCCGCGTCAGTCTCGGCCTCAGTCTCGGCCTCAGTCCCGGCCTCAGTCCCGGCCTCAGTCCCGGCCTCAGTCCCGGACTCAGTCCCGATCAAACGACAGGCTACGCGGGCGCACCTCTGGGCCCGTCCCAACACTCCTGGTTCTGTCCTGTTTAAGTCCTGTTTAAGTCCTGGTTCAGTCCTGGTTCAGTCCTGATTCAGTCCGTAAGCGGCGCAAATGTCCAGCATCGCAGTTTAAGTCACAGAAACGGGAAACGGCCGTTATCCATTTTTTCAATTATTCATTTAAACACAAAATCGAAAACTGAAAAAACAAATCATTATCTGTTTTTTTCATTTTGGTTTTGGAGACAAATAATGAATGTTTTTTTGTTTTTTTATTTTTGGTTTTTTTATTTAAAAACAAATGAACGAATGATACACAGATTAAGTTTCACCGTTGTAATCTCTTATCCCGTGTTTACCTTGGCGAAAGTGGAGCCTTTTCCCTCAGACTGGATGGTGATGGTCTGGGTTCTCCTCTGAAGGATCTGGTCGATGTCCTCCTCGCAGAACTTGGAGCCTTCATCCTCCTCGTCCATCAGAGCTCCGTACGCCCCCTTCTTCAGCAGGTCCTCCACCTCCAGCTTGGACAACTGCGCCACCTACACAAGCAAGTGGAGATACACACAAGTGAGCCATGTTTTAATGGATACAACAATCATTTGGTGCACAGTCATACTAAGTTAGACTCTTAAATGTATTTTAACTGAGCTGTTATAATGTTGATGTGATGATAGTGATGATTAGACTAATAAAAATAAATACCAACACCTTTATTTTGTTAAAAGAAGGTTTAAACTGTCATTAAAAAATGTCCTCCTGTGTGTTCATCATCCACAGAGGGATTCACAGGGGTCGGGTGTGTAGAGGACTGGGCAACAGTCGCGACAGGTGTCTGAATGATCCAGTCCACAGACACAGTATCTGGCTGTGGCGATGTGGAATGTCACTTCGCTGGGAGTGGTCGAAATGAGTTTTCTCCACAGTCACATGGGAGGAACACATGAGTAGAGCCGCAGCTCCTCCACGTCGAGCGGAACCAGCTGAGGTGGCTCTTTCCGATGCCTCCTGAACGCCTCCCTGGTGAGGTGTTCCGGGGATGTCCCACCGAGAGGAGGCCCCCGGGAAGAGCCAGGATACGCTGGAGGAACTATGTCTCTTGGGTGGCCTGGGAATGCCTCAGGATCCCTCCGGAAGAGCTGGAGGAAGTGTGTGTGGAGAGGGAAGTCTGGGCCTCCCTGCTCAGACGACTGTCTCCACAACCCGGCCCCGGATAAAGTGGAAGAAAATGGATGGATAAATGGATGGATGTGGATAAAAAAAAAGTCTTCCTTGAGTGTAAATAGTACTACAGGGACTATTCCATCAAACCAAGAGAGTAATAATTAGAAAAACATGAAAGCTCTTGTGAGTTTTTAGCCTGGAGTTGTGTTTTGTTTCATTCACATATTTTTGAGTAATCCTGGTTTATGAGTCTGTCCAAACCTCAAAATGGTCTGTTCCACCTTGTGATGTTATGCAGCGGTAGTTTTCAACAATTTAATGATTCTGGTGAAGGTTTATGGAGTTTAAAAACACCCTAGAGCTCTTCTTGCATTACCACATGACATCACAAAGTGGAACAGAGTGTTTTGTGTTTGAGAGAAAAACTCTAAATATGCAGGGTTTTGTGTGTGAAATATGTGTGAATGAAACAAAACACAACTCCAGGTCTGTTTATGATGAGGAAACAACATTATAACAGATCAGAAAATAACATAACATGGGCCGTTTTAAGCACCACTGATTCCCTGGTTGTAATAGTTCATGAGATAGAGTTGTATCTGACCCCGTTGAGGCTTCCTTTTCGGTTGATGTCCTGGAGCACGGCCTTGTCCAGCCCCAGTTTGAGGCTGGCCTTGTCAAACATCTCTCTCTCATAAGAGTTTCTGGTGATGAGGCGGTAAACTTTCACCGCTTTACTCTGACCGATCCGGTGACAGCGCGCCTGGGCCTAGACAAAGACAGAAATAAAATATCATATATTTAGTACTACATATTATTAGATGGAAACTCTACACCCACACACTGCATAAATGGACAGAGCTGCCGTGTTCCAAATAGGAAATGAGCATGGGGGTGCTTCTGGCTTCATCAGCTCTGGCTCCCACTGACCCCTCGATCTGTAACTGCTGCTGTGAGCCTCGTCATTTTGGTCTTAAAATGTTCATATTATCCCGCTCTACATGATCCTGGTGTTTTTATTTCACTATTTTGTCTGTAAATCAATTTCTGGCACAGAATTCACTCCTATAATTGCAACCCTCAGTGAGCTTCATTTGACTGGACATCAAATGGGTGACGTCACACTTGCTTAGTCCACTTCTTTATACAGTTTATTTGCATATTTCAAAAATGTAGTGTAGCATTTTGTATTTAATATTAGTATTTATATTAAATATGCATAATGTAGCAGACTAGTTCCTAAACATTTCTAATTCATATATCATTTTATTATCAAATCCACAATATAAAAAAGAAAACTGGAAAATTTCGTATGTAATTTGTAAATTAAAATGTTAAATTACAATCTGCTAAAACATCCTTAAAAAGTCAGTCAATTGCAATAATATTAATTTAATTAAATTTAAATAATTCACTTTTATATCTCTTTTTATTGGCAAAAGGAAAAATTTGTAAAAAAAAAAAAAAATTATACTACTACTACTACTACTACTACTACTACTACTACTACTACTACTACTACTACTACTACTACTACTAATATATAATAATAATAATAATAATAATAAAATAATAAATTAATTTTGACTACATAAACTTTTGTCCAGTTCACAAAGTGAATTTTGAAACCTGAAAATTGAAATATTTTGCCATGGATTCTACCTGTACGACTGAGGGATTTTACACACATCACTTTTTATTTTTATTATTATTTTTTTAATGATTTTAATATAAAAGGTGAAAGAACGAGCATAAAATGTAATATATAAATAAGACTGAACATAGATTTAACCCGTCACAGTTAAAACACCTGTGAGTAAGATGGGAGGAGTTGTACCTGCAGGTCGTTCTGTGGGTTCCAGTCAGAGTCAAAGATGATGCAGGTGTCTGCGGCCGTCAGGTTTATCCCCAGACCTCCAGCTCTGGTGCACAACAGGAACACGAACCGGTCTGAGTCGGGTTTACAGAACCGGTCTATGGCGGCCTGACGCAGGTTCCCCCTCACACGGCCGTCGATGCGCTCGTATGTGTAACTGCAGAGACATAAGGGAACAGTAAAGTCAATGATCACAGTTATAAAGCGACTGAAATTGATTGTTGTCTATCTTTTGTCTGCTTTAAAAGGTCTTATATGACACAGAATTGACTCATGTAAGTTTTAAGTCATGTTATAATGTTGTTACCTCCTCAAAAACATACTTAGAGCTGCAGGATTTGTGCATTAAACATGTGTGAATGAAACAAACCCCAACTCCAGGTTTGTTTTCGATGGGGAACCAACATTATAACATAGATCAGAAAATAGCATAACATGGACGCTGTAAATGGACCTTGAATGATTAACAGAAGTCACAAGATCGCATGCCACAAGATCTCAAAAGATCAAATTGCCATAAGATTGCACACATGAGAAACATGATCTTCCCCACGTGTTTAGATTATGAAAAGTACTAGAGACTCTTCACTCTTTCTCAACTCTGTGGAGGAAACTCATTTTGACCGTTTCTATCCGTGATCGTCTCCTTTTGGTCATTAAAGGTGCAGTATGTAACTTTTCTGGTGGAAGGTCTGCTTACATTTGTGTCCATGAGAGATTAAATTGAGAATTTAGCCATTGGACTCAGCACCTTCTTCACCACAACAGTCCAACAGAGACCACATCAGTGCATGTATCATGTACTGAACCATACGCCAGAGTCCTGCACCGGGTTCGGTAGCAAATAGCTGCTGAAATGGGCAGGTTTTAATGTTCTGGAGTTCTACGGGCGGGTAGTGATTACACACAGGCGGGTCAGGTGAATCAAATGAAGGACAAAAGGGAGAACAATACTTGACGCAAGTCCAGGACGTCTGTTGCCCTGGAAACAAGTGCCATTTCCCCTTTTTTTTTTTTTTTTTTCCCGGAATGATGTCAGACCAGGCTGAGAGAGACTTTAGTGTAATCAGAGGAGATCAGCTCGGGTTTAGTCCTGGTTTAAACCTGGTTTAGTCCTGCTTTAGACCTGGTTGAGTCCTGGTTCAGTCCTGGTTTAGACCTGGTTTAGACCTGGTTCAGTCCTGGTGTAGTCCAGGCAATTGGCTCTGCGGTTGCGGAGTGTATATATTTATAATCCTCTAATGACACGGCGTAGGTTCAGTCCTGGGTTAGACCAGATTTAGTCCTGGTTGAGTCCGGCTTCAGTCCTGGTTTAGTCCTGGTTTTGTCCTGGTTGAGTCCTGGTTGAGTTCTGCTTTAGTCCTGGTTTAGTCCTGGTTTAGTCCTAGTCCTGGTTTAGTCCTGGTTTAGACCTGGTTTAGACCTGGTCCAATCCTGGTGATTGGCTCGGCAGCTGTGGTGTGTATATATTTATGAATATGACACTGATTTATTCCTGGTTTAGACCTGGTTTAGTCCTGGTTTAGACCTGGTTCAGTCCTGGTTGAGTCCTGCTTCAGTCCTGGTTTAGTCCTGGTTTAGTCCTGGTTTAGACCTGGTTTAGACCTGGTTTAGACCTGGTCCAATCCTGGTGATTGGCTCGGCAGCTGTGGTGTGTATATATTTATGAATATGACACTGATTTATTCCTGGTTTAGACCTGGTTTAGACCTGGTTTAGACCTGGTTCAGTCCTGGTTTAGTCCTGGTTTAGTCCTGGTCCAGTCCTGGTCCAGTCCTGGTCCAGTCCTGGTGTAGTCCAGGCGATCGTCTGTGTTGCAGCGTGTATATATTTATAATCCGCTAATGACACGGCGTAGGTTCAGTCCTGGTTTAGTCCTGGTTTAGTTCTGGACTATTAGACTGTCAGACTAATAAGCTGATCCCGATTTATCACGGGCACGGGCAGGTAACAGGTGGAATGCTAACAGGTCTGGGCAGGTGCAGATTTAACTTTGATATAATTACAGATTAACGTGTGGTTGTGATGTTGTCCTGCACAGGTGCGGGTCTCGAAAAATGGACCCATGCAGGACTCTACCATACGGTGATATAGTAATAATTGTGACAGATCTACTACAGACTACAACAGCTATCCACAGTCTATTTCCTCATGCAGGCCCCTCTCCACGGTGCGTTCACAGTGCTGTGTAGCTGTACCGTCTCTGTATGAGGTAGTCCTCCAGGATGTCCAGGCAGCGCACCATCTGGCTGAAGACCAGGACCTTGTGGCCTCCTGACAGCAGCTTGGGCAGCAGCTTGTCGATCAGGACCAGTTTCCCTGCCGCCTGGATCATGGCCTGGAGCTGGAAGTCCGGAGCGTCAGGACTGTGGCTCTTACGGAAGCTCTCCAAGATCTTCTCCTCGGCTCCTGTGGGGGTGGAAAGCACAAATGTATCTAGTGATGCTGGTGAATCAAGAAATTGTTTTGGCAAATTATAACCAAATGACAACATATGTGAAGTTTGCCAGCTAGTCCAGACTGATCTCTGTGTGCCAGACTCAACAAAAGTCCCAACTATGAGCAGTATTAAAGATGCACCATGTAACTTTTCTGGTAAGAGTCCATGGAGATATGCTGGGGAGATTGCTTTTACTGAAATGTATCACAGTATAGCATTAAACTTTCTTATTATTTCATAATAAAGAAAAATACCTTGAAAAATCTATATTCTACTGTAATCGGCCCACCTCTCCACAAACCTAATCTGTAAACTGCTTTGACGCTTGCATCCATGGAAATAGATAAGTTTAATCTCATACTGTGAAAAATTCCAGGCAAAGCAACAAAATCTCCATGGTGACAGACCCTCCACCCGGAAAGTATTGGCAATTATCTCGCCTGAACAAAAATATTCTTGAAAGTATTATACTATGGTATTAATTGCCAACACAAATTAAGATACGGAAGTTATTTTTTAATTTTTTGAAAACATTTAATGTGTTTAATAAGTTTCAGTTTAGCTTTTGAGTATGCCCCTTCCCTAAGTAGTAGCAGTAGTAGTAGTAGTAGCAGTAGTAGTAGTAGTAGAAGTAGTAGTAGTAGTAGAAGTAGTAGTAGTAGTAGTAGTAGTAGTAGTAGTAGTAGTAGTAGTAGTAGCAGCAGAAACAGTAATAGTAGCAGCAGTAGCAGGAGTAGTAGTACCACCAGTAGTAGTGGTAAAAGCACTAGAGGTAGCAGTAGCAGCAATAGTAGTACTAGCAGTACTAGTAGTAGTAGTAGCAGTAGTAGCAGTAGTAGCAGTAGTAGCAGTAGCAGAAGCTAAAGCAGCAGCAGTAGTAGTAGTAGTAGTAGTAGTAGTAGTAGTAGTAGTAGTAGTAGTAGTAGTAGCAGTAGTAGTAGTAGTAGTAGTAGTAGTAGCAGTAGTAGTAGTAGTAGTAGGAGCAGCAGAAGCAGTAATAGTAGCAGCAGTAGCAGTAGTAGTAGCAGTAGTAGTAGTAGTAGTAGTAGTAGTAGTAGTAGTAGTAGTAGTAGTAGCAGCAGCAGAAGCAGTAATAGTAGCAGCAGTAGCAGTAGAGGTAGCAGTAGTAGTAGTAGTAGTAGTAGTAGCAGTAGCAGCAGTAGCAGTAGTAGCAGTAGTAGTAGTAGTAGCAGTAGCAGAAGCAGTAATAGTAGCAGCAGTAGCAGTAGTAGTAGCAGTAGTAGTAGTAGTAGTAGTAGTAGCAGTAGCAGCAGTAGCAGTAGTAGCAGTAGTAGTAGTAGTAGCAGTAGCAGCAGTAGCAGTAGTAGCAGTAGTAGTAGTAGTAGAAGTAGCAGTAGCAGTAGTAGTTGCAGCAGCAAGAGTAGTACCAGCAGTAGTAGCAGCAATAGTAGCAGAAGTAGTAGTAGTAGCACCAGTAGTAGAAGCACTAGAAGTAGCAGTAGCAGTAGTAGTAACAGCAGTAGCAGTAGTGGTAGCAGTAGTAGCAGCATTAATAGCAATAGCAGTAGCAGCAGTAACAGTAGTAGTAGTAGTAGCAGTAGTAGTAGCACTAGTAGTAGCCTATGCCTTTAAAATGACTTGGATGCAGCAGGGTCTGGAGAGCAGAATGGGACTGAAAACTCCATTTGGCCCAAAAACAACTTTATATTTTTCAGCTGTGAGCGCGGTGAGTGAGAGTGTGTGAGTGTGTCTGTGCTGTGGTGAGTGTGTGAGTGTGTGTGAGTGTGTGTGAGTGTGTCTGTGCTGTGGTGAGTGAGTGTGTGTGGTGTCTGTGCTGCGAGCTCAGACCTGTGATGAGATACGGGTGGTTGCAGCACTTGCGCAGCTCCATCATGGTGTTGATGAGGTTGGGCATGTTGTGCTGGTTGGCTCCTTTGGACAGAAATGAAAAGTTCTTCTCTAGAATGGCTCGGTAATACTTCTTCTGGATGTTGGTCAACTCCACCTGCGAAAACATCAACAACAACGAGACACAGGAAATACAAAGGTTAAAGGGCACATTTTATACTATGTTTTGATTCGTGTTATAATGTTGTTTCCTCGTGACAAACAGACCTGGAGTTGTGTTTTGTTTCATTCACACATTTAACACACAAACCCTCCTTGTGATGTCATAATGGCTAATAATACAAAGTTATTCAAACGTGAGAATGAAACAAAACACAACTCCAGGTCTGTTTCTGAGGAGGTAATAAGATGCTAACACGGCTTAAAGTTTGCAAGAGTAAAATGTAGGACCTTTACAAGAAATCTACAGGGTTCCCACTCTTTTTCACTGTCAAAATTTCTAAACTTATCCATGACTTTACGGCACCCTACATGTATAGAATTGAGCATAATTTTAGGGCTAAATATGAAATGTTCACTGTTTCCACTCACCTTATGGCAGGAGTGTCAAACTCAAATTCACAGTTGGCCAAAATTAAAAACTGGGACTAAGTCGTGGGCCAAACTTAATATTTATTGAAAATTTTCAACAACATGCAGCAACAGCATGTTTTCTCTTCTTTCAAGATATGTAATGTTAAAACTTTTCTTATTAAAATAAATGTTTAATAATAGTTTTGCTTAAACATTGAATCCAGAACAAGCATAATATTAAATAATAACAAAAATAATGTCCGTATAGCCTATCTGTAGCCGGCAGGCAGCTCTAATACATATTTGATATGATCTCGCGGGCCAAATATAATTATATCGCCAGCCAAATTTGGCCCCCGGCCCTGAGTTTGACATGTCTGCCACATGGTATTATAGATTTTTAATATTCAAAATGTCAGTGTCAGTGCATTTATTGTCGTCTCTTTTAAACAAAAAGTGTATACATTCGGAAATATTCACAATAGCCTAATGATAACTTAACAGAACACTGTAGTTGCGTGAAAGAGATACTAAAATTTATTGAATGTACAAATTTCCATGACTTTTCCAGGATTTAATGTAAGATTTGTATGTAAGATTCGGATTTAAAATTTCATAAACTTGACCAGTCTTTGTCCCACAGATATGAGGTTCTGATACAGTGTTCACAGATAATAGTAGTAAATGCTGATTTATTCTTAATTACAAAAAACAAGAGGAAAAATACATGCTACATACTGTTCCTTAAAAGTAACCAAACGAGTTTGAAAAGAGAAAAAAACCCAAATCATAATGTAGAACTTTAGATACTAGAACTTATTTTCCCAGACTTTGATGCGTAATACATGTGGTCTACAGCAACAGAACCTTTTTCACTATTCAGAATATATTTACTTTACCTGAAATCAAAGGACTACAAATAAATCACAGTATTTGATCACACTTTGAACAACTTTGATCAGAGAAGTAACATAGTACACATAATTATGAATTCATCCTCAGTCTGAGCCGTACCTCGATAATGGTCTCCTCTTTGGGCGCCAGGTTCTTCTCCACGTCGTCCTTCAGCCTCCTCAGCATCATGGGCTTCAGAATGGCCTGGAGTTTCTTTACCTGCAGCAGCACAGAGGGCAGGGTTCAGAGGGAAAAGGTCACGGGCTGTATACACAACTTATCAATGTTTAATGACCATGTGTGCGTGTGGAATGCTAAATTATACGTTCTACCATAATTTCTTCTTTCACTGATGCTTCACCATGACTTTTAGCAGCCAAATACTGTGCAGAAATGACTAAGATGTCTAATAACAGGTTTCAATATTTAAGGAGGAGCTAAAAAACTAAAAATATTCTCTTCAATATTACAATATCTTTATAATATCTAAGGCTACGTTCAGACTGCAGACCGAAGTCACCCAAATCCAATTTGATCTGATCTTTTAATGACAGTCTGAATGACACAGATCTGATGTTTTCAAATGCGACCCAGGCCACTTGGATATGTGCTCCTAAAACTGATACATATCCGATTTTTTGAGATATGACTTCAGTCTGAACGGTCAGGTCATCTTTTCATTCCACCTACACGTCAGGCCCTAGTGAAAGGAGGGAAAGAGAGGTTAGCGAGTTTATTAATATTTGAAGGGATTGATGTATTCAGGCCAAATTGGAGGGGTCTTGTTGGAACCAGGTGTTTTTATTTTTTAAATGATTGCCAAAGAAATGGCAGAGCGCGGCTACAGGCGGTCCTGGCTCTAATGTCAACAAAAAATAAAAAGCCTGCGAGTCAAATACAAGGAGGCTAAAGACTCAAACAAACAAAGCGGCCGTGGACGTGTAACCTGTCCATTTTACGAAGAACTGGATCGTATTTTGGGAGACAAGCCCAGAGTTTAGGCGACTTCTGTAAGTGAGGGACACTTTCGGGGCATTTAAAGTTCACACTGGAGATCACACACAAGCCGCGTTTAATTGGAAATGTGATCAACCTCATAAAAAATAATCGTATTTCACCGAAAAATCCAAAATGAGCATTAAGTCCTGCAGTCTGAACATAGCCTAATTCTAGATATTAGATATATAACCTAAAGTCTTGTAAATTCAGGTGGTTGACCCTGCACCAAATAGTAACAGTGTCCCTTTAAAACATACAGAACTTGTTTTGATTTGTATTCAATGCACCATACAGTGGAAAGAGAAAAGCAGAAATGGAACTAAAAACTTTTTTTTCCCATGGCCGACACTGATACAGATTCCAGAGCAACTGATCGCCTATATTTTGCTGCATGACTTTAATTATTTTCACCAAATGTCATTTAAATTTACTACAAACTCAGCCATTACCGTTCTTTTTATCACAACCCTACAAGAGAGAAGTGTAGTCACGTTTTGTGCAATAATATCTTTGAACTTAGGTTTTCAAAGCTTTATGTGGATGTTTTACGCAGTGGGACAGCCAAAACTAAATATCTGTCTTTAACGGTGACAACTGATTCCCTAAACGTGCAAAAATCTTCCCGATAGTTCATCTATAAATGTAACTGTATAGTTCTGTGATTCCTGTATTACTGCCAGAGGGCGGTGCTGAAAGCAAAGCACTAAATGACCCCTTCACACAGGCGTAGGGACAGTAGGAGGTCATAGATTAAAATGTAACTGATGCACTGACCTGTTCTTCGGTCTTGAGGTCCCCAAACTCCTCTAAGAAGGCGCTTTCAGAGGGAAACTGCAGCGGCTCCAAGAAGTTCAGCAGAGAGAAGAGCTCCTCCACAGAGTTCTGCAGAGGCGTCCCGGTCAGCAGAACTTTGTGCTCCTGAAAATACAGCACATTTTGAGCAAGGACCGGACACAATGCTGATGTGAAAAGCACAAACAGGACAAGCTCTACAACTCCTGAAAGGCCAACTGATGGATAAGACTACGATTAGGGCCGATATGATACAAATCTCAATACATAGGCCATGATATGATACATAGGCCACGAGACTATACATATCTCGATACATAGGCCGCGGTGCGATACATATCTCGATACATAGGCCACGAGACTATACATATCTCGATACATAGGCCGCGGTGCGATACATATCTCGATACATAGGCCACGAGACTATACATATCTCGATACATAGGCCACGGTGCGATACATATCTCGATACATAGGCCACAATGCAATACATATCTCGATACATAGGCCACGATACGATACATATCTCGATACATAGGCCACGAGACTATACATATCTCGATACATAGGCCACGGTGCGATACATATCTTGATAAATAGGCCACAATGCAATACATATCTCGATACATAGGCCATGAGACAATACATATCTCGATACATAGGCCACGATACGATACATATCTCGATACATAGGCCACGAGACTATACATATCTCGATACATAGGCCACGATACGATACATATCTTGATACATAGGCCACGAGACTATACATATCTCGATACATAGGCCACGGTACGATACATATCTCGATACATAGGCCACAATGCAATACATATCTCGATACATAGGCCATGAGACAATACATATCTCGATACATAGGCCACGATACGATACATATCTCGATACATAGGCCACGAGACTATACATATCTCGATACATAGGCCACGGTGCGATACATATCTTGATAAATAGGCCACAATGCAATACATATCTCGATACATAGGCCACGGTGCGATACATATCTCGATACATAGGCCACAATGCAATACATATCTCGATACATAGGCCACGATACGATACATATCCTGATACATAGGCCATGAGACTATACATATCTCGATACATAGGCCACGGTGCGATACATATCTTGATAACATAGGCCACAATGCAATACATATCTCGATACATAGGCCACGGTGCGATACATATCTTGATACACAGGCCACAATGCAATACATATCTCGATACATAGGCCACGGTGCGATACATATCTTGATACAATAGGCCACAATGCAATACATATCTCGATACATAGGCCACGGTGCGATACATATCTCGATACATAGGCCACAATGCAATACATATCTCGATACATAGGCCACGATACGATACATATCCTGATACATAGGCCATGAGACTATACATATCTCGATACATAGGCCACGATACGATACACATTTCGATACATAGGCCACGGTGCGATACATATCTTGATACATAGGCCACGATACGATACATATCTCGATACATAGGCCATGAGACTATACATATCTCGATACATAGGCCACAATGCAATACGTATCTCGATACATAGGCCACAATATGATACATAGGCCACGAGACTATACATATCTCGATACATAGGCCACGATACGATACACATTTCGATACATAGGCCACGATACGATACATATCTCGATACATAGGCCACGATACGATACATATTTTGATACAGTGCACTTTCAATTCAATACAATATATTTCAAATCAATTCGATAAAGTTCAATAAAAAATAATGGTTAAATCATGGCTGTAATGCTAAAAGTGTTTGTTAAACCACTTCTTATGCAAATTTAATATGAAACACACCCATTTAAATCATAAAAACGGTGAAAATGTCAAATGTGTTGATGATATTGATACTAATATATCAATATTTTACTAACTACGATTCTCTGATTTCAATTTTTTTTTAAATTGAAAAACTCACAGGATATGCATTTCAATTGCATCAGCCTGTGTTTATAGGTGCACTATGTACATTTTCTGTTAGTGTCTCTCACCTGCTTGTTTCTATTTGTCATTACTCTGCCTAGAATGTTCCAGAGTATGACATTAAACAGCTCTACCTTACATTTATTCAATTACAGGTGATTTTATAGCTAAAAATACCTAAAAAACTGGAATTCTGACTGTGAGCGGGGTTGCATCTCCATAGATCTGACCTATAACATGGTCTGGTTTGGTCTCTATGAAAACTAAACTGTGAAACTTTCCAGACAAAGCAATAACATCTCCATGGAATAAAGCATTTGCCGGACCCTCCACTAGAGAAGTTACACAATGCACTTTGAAGTAAATATTATGTATATACAAGTCCATCAAAAATAATTCAAGATCATGAAAAAGTTCTGTATTGCTTATCACTCATTTCAGAAAGTCAAAACCATATTTATATAGACTCATGACACATAGAGGGAAAATATTTTCACTTTTAATGATGGCTTACAAATAATAAAAAAATTTAAAAATTCTGTGGCTCGCAAAATTAGAATAGCGTGAAAAAGCTGAATTTGGGAAAGTCACGGAGTCACACCCTAAGCTAATTAGCTCAAAACACCAGCAACGGTTTACTGAGCCTTGAAAACAAACAAATAAACCAAAAATATTGAACTTTTTCATGATATTCTAATTATTTGTGATGCACTAGTATATTTTTGTTATATACATTATGCATAATTCATAGTTAATTTACACGTATCCTTTTGTGAGCCTCATTTCTGTGCCTGGACTGGACAAAAGCGGTGGTTTCTTTTACCCAATAACACGATATTCTCTGTTGAGGGTCCCAGAGGAGGTACTGTAGGAAGTACTGACCAGGTTCATGAGTTTGAGCCCCTCCAGGAGTTTGCAGTTCCTGTTCTTGAGTCTGTGCGCTTCGTCGATGACCACACATCTCCAGTTGAGTTTCTTCAGCTCTGGACAGTCGGCCATGATCATCTCAAAGGTGGTGATGAGCCCGTGGAACTTCAGACCGCCGGGGATCGTGTTACCCTGAAGACGAGAGACAAGCGGGTTTCACATAAATGTCATTTTAGCACATTGTTCAAACTAGTTTTCATGCTTAAGTCCCAGAATGTAACTGTTGTTTTAATTTATTTATTTTTGTTTATTTGTAATCCTCAACAGTATGGCATATCAATCTCCATGGAGAATGTTCCCAAGTAAAGTTTTAACTAGGGTTGGTTATCATTAAGAAGTTGCCAATATGATACATATCTTGATACTATGCACTTTCGATTTGATATGATTCAGTAAAAAAATAATGGCTAGATCATAGTTGTGATACTAAAAGTCTTTGTTAAACCACTTCTTGTGCAAAGTTAATATGAAACAAACCTATTTTAATCATCAAAACAGTGAAAATGTTGAATGTTTTGCATAAATAAGTTTCCTTCCACTCGACAAGCAACAAAACTGTAACACTGTATCAAAAATAATTTTGTAAAATATGCAAAAAAACACTCTTGACGATGTATCAAAACAACAGCCCATGATATCCATTCTGTATAATCACATTAAACGATATGATATAGCAATATTTCAATATTTTTAACCTCCTTAACCTTCTATTTCAGTGAAATCACCCAGGTAATCACCTCCAGAAAGTTACATAATGTTGCTTTAAATATTTTCTTTATAACTGTTACCCAGAGAAACCACTGGAAAAAAAATTATATTTATGTATAAAATTGCATCATTTTGTACTATACCCCCGCTTTAAAAATGTTACAACATAAAATAAATTTCACCTTTGAGGTCAATTTAACAATCTGTAAACAAGATGCACCAAAGCAACAAAGAGCAAATATTGTATTGAATGAAAATCAGTTGAATTGGGACATTCTCACAGATTCTTTATTTTACTCTCCCAAATCATATTCAAATACATATGATGCTTTCTAAATGCTGCTAAAAATACATTATGATAAAAAAAGAATACTTAATCAGAAAATAACATTAATAGACAAATGCCCTTCATTGCAGCCTTGGTTTAGTGTCTGCATCTTCTTCTGGTAACAAAGCGGAGAAGCTAATTTTAGCCACATGACTGTTAGCAGATCAATGTCAGGTAATGAAGGCTATTTAAACTCATCAGAATAGGTCCAGTGAATAAACAACAGCAGGGACAGTTCTAGTTACGTAACTTAAACACAGCTTAACTACATGTTTAATGATCATAATTGGAGCATTTTTGTAATATATCACCTTTAAGAGTTAAACATGGACAGGTGCTGCATGCTGTGTTGATTTTAATTAAGCAATTATGTTATTTTTGAGCAACAGAAACATGAATAAACACTAAATTGATATGTTTTACCTTTAAAGCTCACAAGAGTACATTTTTCATAATAAATACAGGACCTTTAAAGTTGCTGACGTCGGCTCCTCACCTGTGTGTCTCTGTAGAACATCTCGTACTGTAGGATCATCTGGCGGCTGATCTGGGAGCCGTGGTAGACGATGACGTTCATGTTGGTCCAGGTCCTGAACTCCCTCTCCCAGTTGGTGATGGTGGAGAGCGGCGCGATGATGAGGAACGGCCCCCTGATGCCCAGACTGAACATCTCATACAAGAAGGTGATGGACTGAATGGTCTTGCCCAAACCCATCTCGTCGGCCAGGATACAGTTTTTCCTGTGAACAAAAACATAAATACTGAATCCAAAGGTGAATCCAGATACATTTAAACATTTTTATTTTCTTTTTAAGGGAAATTTAATGGTCCTATATTATGTAAAAATGATTCTCGTGAGGTTTCAGATAAGTTAAAATGTAGTTACCTCCTCAAAAACAGACCTGGAGTTGTGTTTTGTTTCATTCACACATGTTTGAGTAGCCCTTATTATTAGTTTGTCTGCATCTCGAAAGCTCAAAATGCTCTGTTCCACCTTGTGATGTCATGAAGCGGTACTTTTTGTGGTTATCAGTAGGGATGTAACAATAATCAAAATATCTTTACACCCACTTTTATTCATCTGGCTTTTAACACAGCGTGAGTTGTGTGGTCCTCTGTGCCTTTTATTTATTTTTAATGTATTTTTATTGGTTTTATTTATTTATTGCTACTCTATGATTTTGTTCTTATTTGATTTTACTGAATTTTATTATTTTAAGACTAGTACGATAAAATTTGAGTGTTTATTTTATCATTTTATTATTGTTATTATTTTGTATTTGTGTAGCACTTTGGAAACTGTTTGTGAAATGTGCCATAGAAATAAAGTGGATTGGATTGTGATATCGTATCGTTAAAAGTCTCTCTCAGTAATATCATATAGCTAAAAGAAACAAAGCAATTATTTTGAGCAGAATTATTGCATAGTTCCTTCTGTTTCAGTCCAATTTACAAGATGAAATAATTGTTATGAAAGACTTTTAAATCTTAAATCTTAATCTTAAAAGGTAGTACATTCACAGTTTTGTGAGCCTCTACAACAGGGGTGTCAAACTCATTTTGGTCCAGGGGCCGTATCCAACCTACTTTGATCCCAAAAGGGCCGGATCAGAAAACTCATGGCATATAAACCCCAAAAATAGCAATAAAGTTCAAATATATGTGCAGACAAATGCAAATCTATTACAAAAATCTTTTTTAATTGATGAACTTTTTCTTTTACAAAATATTATAATATTATGAACAACCTGAAACTTTAAGAAAAATGCTATTTCAACACAGTATTTTAACATGAACTTGTATGTAAATAGGAATAAGTCAATTTTTCTTGTAAAGTCCTGCACTCGGCTCCACTTTTCTCATTTGTGACATTTTTCTGATGAGGGTGTCACGGTCAACAGTCAAAACGATCGTCCTTTAAGAGCGTTTGGAAAGAGACAAGTCTTCATTTGTGCTGCTCTGGTGGGAGGGGCCACGCACAGAGGCTCTGGAGACACTGCTGTGATAAACACCACAGAAAATTACCAATATTTTAACAGAAAATATAATTTAAATATTTTAGTAGAAAATCAGCCGAGGGCCAGATTAAAGGTCTTGGAGGGCCGGATCTGGCCCCCGGGCCGCATGTTTGACACCTGTGCTCTACAAAATAAATATCGTACCGTGAGAGGCATATCGTGAAAATATCGTACAGAGAGATTTGGATATTGTTACAGCCCTAGTTATCAGCTGCCTTTAGTTCAGGAGAGATCACCAATTCCAGGGCTGATATTATCCAAATGATTCTAGTGAAGGTGTGTGCAGTTTAAAAACACAGTGAAGCGCTTCCTGTATTACCAAAAGACATCACAAGGTGGAGCAGAGTGTTTTCTGTTGAGAGAAAAACTCAGGGTTTGTGTGTTCAACATGTGTGAATGAAACAAAACACAACTCCAGGTCTGTTTGTGGTGAGGAAACAACATTATAACATAGATCAAATTCTTTTCTGTCTAACAAAGCTGTTCTAAAGCTGCGCACATGCCCGAGAATGTATGCATGTGAATACTAGACATTTGCTATAAACAAGTTTAAAGCTGTTTCAGTAGTTGTTAGTCCTTGAGGGCCCTCATAGACCAGAGGAAACAGCACTGACCTGTTGTACCAGTTGAAGAGGAGCCAGTTCATGCCCTCGAGTTGATACTCCCGAAGCTGGTTCCCATTACGGTAATCTCTGGACCGTTCCAACTTCTGCCACTTGTCTGGAGGGGGGCGCTCCTGAAAAAGAACACACAAACAAAATACTTTTTACATCTGGATACAGGTCTATTTGACGTGTTTTAAACTGACCTTTTACTCACAATATCATATCTGTTAACTGCTTAAAGAGGGAGTTTTTTTTTTTATTTCTATGGAGGTATTAATGCAAAGACGTAACATGTTTAGATCTCCATGTTACCTTTTATTGTTTTGAAATGTATTTACATGTTTATTTATTTATTCATGTATTTTGGACATATAACATAATAAAAAATAAAAAAACACACTAGAAAAAAAGTAGGTGCCGGAAGAGGCAAAAACCCCCCAAAAGGGCTTATGTTAAAGCCTCCACCTTATGAATACATAAAAAATTTAACATTATCGCTGTGCATAAAAAAAAAAAAAAAATGACAGCACATTATAACTTTTCTTTTACTCAGAGTTCCACCTCCCTTTGCTCTCTGCGCTAAGTCACTCCCTCTTCAGAGCTCCATCACAACACAATCACTACAATTACTGCACATCGCATCAGGTTTGTGAAGTTGTAGTGTACAGTTTTGTATCGTGCTTTTGTATATTGTTGTGAAGGAGCATGAAGGAGGTGTGTGGGCGGAGGGTTTGAATAAGGCTTGGAAGAGATCTCTAAATTACTCAAATATGCACGGATGACATCTATAACCTCTAACATATTTTTGATGATGGAAACATGATAGAAAGTTCCAAAAAGTCAATTTTTGCTAAATACCCCATTTTTAAATGTCCTTTTTTTCCCACAGCAAAATCAAAACTGATAAATTGATAAAGAAACTTGTACTAGGACAAATATACAATATATCCACTAATGTTGAAAATAAAAAAATAAATATATTACAACAAATAAAACATATAAGTTAGACGTAAGACAATTTTCATTCATTTTAACCTAAGTCTATTTCACCCTAGTCAAAATCAGTATTCTACGGACAATTTTTGTTGCTGTGAATGAAAAAAGTAAACATTCTGAAATAGCTTAGCTGAACTTCTCAAGGTACCTGTAGATCAATATATTTCTAGGACATTTTTAAGGGTGAGTTTGGCCTTTTCAAATGGTCAAATTTATTTATTTATTGATTTGTTCATTCTCAGTATTTGTCTGCCAGCATTAATTATTCTACTATTTGTGCACTCTAAAACAGAGCCTCAAAAATACACGAAGGACAAAACGAGGATCTCACAATGTCAAACTTTTGTAATAATGTGAAATTAAATTAGCTATTTCACAATTATTTACTTTTTTAAATTCCAAATTAATTAAATTTATTTAGAGGCCAATATTTTGCCCCTAAACACATACACCTGTTAACGACTAAAGAAAATTGAAAAAAAAATTAAAATTTGTCAAATTATTAGGCTGTCTACTTCTCCATCCATCCATCCATTTTCTTCCGCTTTTTCCGGGCCGGTTCACGGGGGCAGTAGTCTAAGCAGGGACTCCCAGACTTCCTTCAACCCGGACCTTTCCTTCAGCTCTAGAACCCCAAACCATTCCCAGACCAGAGAGACTAAGGCTACGTTCAGACTGCAGGGCTTAATGCTCAATTCAGATTTTTTTGTGAAATCCGATGTTTTTGCGAAGTCGTTCACATTTCCAATTAAATGCGACTTGTCTGTGACTTCAGTGTGAACGGTAAACGGCCTGAAAGTGTCCCGCATGTGCACTGGAGACACGATGACGTCAACCCCATGCGTCAACCGCAGCGAGCGTGCTCTGTGTTTACGGAAGTTGTCCAAATATGGTCGCGAGCATTGAGCACCTGGAGATTTTACAGTTTTGGTTTCCGCCTGCTTCAGCGCAGAATAGTGACGTTTGTCGCTTGTTAATGACGTGTAGGTCGGATGGATGCGCTTTGGCCGTTCAGACTGAAGTCGCATGTCAAAAGATCGGATATGTATCGGATTCAGGACCACATATCCAAGTGGCCTGGGTCACATTTGAAAAATTCGGATCTGTGCCATTCAGACTGTCATTAAAAGATCGGATACAGGTCACATAGAAGCCAAAAAATCGGATTTGGGTCACTTCAGGCTGCAGTCTGAACGCAGCCATAGTCCCTCCAGCCTGTCCTGGGTCTTCCCTGGGGCCTCCTCCCGGTGGGACATGCCCGGAACACCTCTCCAGGGAGGAGTCCAAACAGATGCCCAAGCCACCTCAGCTGGCTCATCTCGACGTGGAGGAGCAACGGCTCTACTCCGAGCTCCTCCAGTGCGACTTAGCTCCTAACCCTATTTCTAAGGAAGCGCCCAGCCACTCTGCGGAGGAAACTCATTTTGACCGCTTGTATCTGCGATCTTGTCCTTTCAGTCATTACCCAGAGCTCATGACCATAGGTGAGGGTAGGAACTGACCGCTAAATCAAGAGCTTTGCCTTTCAGCTCAGCTCCCTCTTCACCACGATGGTCCAAAACAGCGACCACATCGCTGCAGACGCTGCACCGATCCGCCTGTGAATCTCACGTTCTATTCTCCCCTCACTCATGAACAAGACCCCGAGATACTTGAACTCCTCCACTTGGGCCCCGCCTACATCTCCAAAACTCAAAATGCTCTGTTCCACCTTGTGATGTCACGTCGATGTCAGCTACCTTTTACATTTAGTTTAGCAGAGATTGGATAGTCCAGAACTGAAACAATCCAAATGATTCTAGTGAAGGTTTATGGAGTCTAAAAACACAGTGGAGCACTTCCTGTATTACAATAAGAGGGAAGAACTCAGCCTAAATATGCAGGGTTCAGGGTTCGGTAAAACTAACTGAAAGAAAACACTCCAACTATGTTTTTTTTTTTTTTTTTTCTGATGAGGAACCAACATTATAACAAAGAAAACAGTGCAATATGGGCCTTTTAATGAAAATACCAATCTATTTTAAAAAATAGCAGCTCTGTCCTCCATCTGAGATTTCGTCATTATTACATTGTATAACTTCAAAAAACAAAACAAAACTCTCATAACCATCCATTCCCATGACCCTCTTTTGCAATAATCATTACATTTAAAGGTGCACTGCGTCACTTTTCTAGTAATGGGTCAGCTACCTGCTTGTCTCCATGGAGATGTTATTGCTTTCACTGGAATGTACCATGATACGACATTAAACATCCGTCTAGCATTTATTCTTTACGGTTGTTTCTATGGCTATGTTCAGACTGCAGGGCTTAACGCTCAATTCGGATTTTTTTGTGAAATCCGATTCGTTCACATTTCCAATTAAATGCGACTTGTATGTGATCTCCAGTGTGAACTTTAAACGCCCCAACAGTGTCTCGCATGTGCATTGGAGGACACAACGACGACGTCACACGCAGCGAGTGTGTTCAGTGTTTACAGACGTCGCCTAAACATGGACGCGAACATTGAGCACCTGGAGATTTTAAAGTTGCTGTTTGTTGTACCGGAGCCAGAACATGTACAGCTTATTTGTTTTAAGGAGGAGATTGAGAAGGAGAAGGACGAGGTTTTAGGCCGTGGCGTTTTGTGGGGCAGCGGCAGCAACGTCTGTAGAAAGGAACATCTGGGTGCGGAGTCGCAGCCAAGAGTGGTGGAATTGTTATGTGCTTCACTGCTTCACTGACAGGGAGTTCATACACAATTTTCGTATGACGAGAAGAACGTTTGTGTACAGGTGTGCCTACTTCAGTGCAAAATAGTGACGTTTTGTCGCTTGTTGATGACATGTAGGTGGGATGAACGTGACCTGGCCGTTCACAGTGAAGTCACATGTTAAAAGATCGGAATATGTACGGTTTTAGGACCACATATTTAGTGGCCTGAGTTGCATTTGAAAAAAAAAATCAGATCTGTGTCATTCAGACTGTCATTAAAAGATCAGATACAGTTCACATAGGGGCGAAAAAAATCGGATTTGGAACACAGGCTGCAGTCTGAACGTAGCCTATTGCTCAAAAACACAATAATTCCTTCTGTGAATAGGGGCGACTCTCCACAGATCTGACTTGTAATGTAGCGTAGTGCTTGTCTCCCTCATGACAGAGGTTTAACCTATACTGTGGAACATTCTAGACAAAAGCAATAAAATTTTCATGGAAACAAGCAGGTAGCAGACCCTCCACTGGAAATTGCGGACATTGCACCTTTAACATTTATTTTATATTACTGTATTTAGATCTGACGTCAATTCAATTCACAATACCTTCGTGAGTTTTCAAACTATTTCCCAACAACTCCTTCCATCGTCTGTACAATCTCTAAATGTCATTTGAAGAACACGATGTAGACCCCCTCCCTTCCACCGCAGCGGTCGCAGCGTTAGTATGGGGCTATTGTTGAAGCTAATTAGCCATACTAACCTAGGAGAGAGCGGGGAGTCTCAAGGACAGTAGCTGAACAGGAGAAAGATGTTCTGAGAAATGCTTTAAGGATTAAAAATAAACCCGTAATGATGGCTCTTGTGTGTGCGGTTTGATAAAAACATAGCATATGAGCACGGCCTAAGTCTATAATGGTCCACTTAAGTGTGCAGGAAGTGGAGAGTGTTCTTTTAAAATTGGTAATAGAAGAAGATGTTAATGGGGAAAAAAAAAGAAAAAATCCAATCCAACAGTCCAAACAAACAACAACCAAAAAAATCCAAAGGTGTATTATAAGAAAGGATACTGGACTTGTCAATTTAAATCAAAAATACATCTATTTAAAGGCCCTTATTATGCAAAACTCTTGACTCTTAAACAATGTCATAATGCCTCTACCTCCTCAAAGACTTTGAGTTGTGTTTTGTTTCATTCACACATCCTTTTATTATTACTCTGTCTACATCTCCAAAGCTCAAAATGCTCTGTTCCACCTTGTGATGTCATGAAGTTGCAAGTTTTCAAGTTAAGACCTACATTTTAGCTTTTGTTCAGTAGAGATTGGCAAATTCCAGGGCTGAAACCCTCCAACTGATTCTAGTGAAGGTGTATGGAGTTTAAAAACACAGTGGAGCACTTCCTGAAATACCACATGGGCGTGTGCAAAAATATCGAAATTTCTATATATCGTATTACTTAATGTGATGATAAAGTATTGATATCGTGGGCTGCTGTATCAATATATATATAAGTATTTTGAGTATTTTTTGGTGTATTTTACTAAATTATTTTGTTACATTGCTACAGTTTTGTTGCTTGTTTTATTTAAATGAAGGCAACTCGTTTATGCGACACATTTCACATTTTCACAGTTTTGATGATTAAAATGTTTGTGTTTTATATTAACTTTGCACAAGAAGTGGTTTAACAAAAACTTTTAGTATCACAGCAACGATTTAGACATTATTTTTTATTGAACCGTATCAAATCGTTTTAAAAATATATCATATCGAATCGAAAGCGCACTGTATCGAGGCATGTATCATATCGGCAACTTCTTAATGATACCCAGCCCTATTACCACATGACATCACAAGGTGGTGTTTGCTGTTTGAGAGAAGAGCTCAGCCTAAATCTGCAGGTTTGTGTGTTACAAAATGTGTGAATGAAACAAAACATACCTCCAGGTCTGTTTGTGATGAGGAAACAGTATTATAACATAGAGCAGAAAATAGTACAATATGAGCCCTTTAAAAAATAATAAATTTAATTAAAAAGTCGTGTATAATAACCACCAGTTAAATAAACAAATAAAGATCTAACACAATTATTCCTGTTTTCTAACCAGTCTGTGCACATGGCTGAATGGTTTTCTTTCCCCCCCCAAACACTGGATTTATCACAATCATGATAAATATCTATCTATATTCGGAGGCTAATCCGCATTTCTGCATTGAAATGACATTTTGCCTGGAGTTGCGTTTATTCTGGAATTCAAAATGTATTTGTTTACAAACTTTGAAGGATCTGTTTAATGGAGCTGGCATAAATTCAGCCTGGAAGAGCTTCTCCGGAGTTTACCTGCTCCTCGGCCTTCATCACTTCACTCCAAATACAGCTCCTCTTCGTCCAATCAGCAACCAGTCTGCCCACTCTCTCTCTCTCTCTCCTCATCCTCTCATCATCCTCTTCACTCTCATCCTTTCATCGTCCCCTTCACTCTCCTCATTCTCTCATCGCGCATCAGCCACATCCTTCATTGTTATATCTTCTTCCGAGGTCTGAGCTCCAAAGTTAATTCATTCAGTAAAACCACTACCGTATTTTCCAGACTATTGAGCGCACCTGAATATAAGCGGCACGTCTTCAAGAACGTTTTCAAGTTCGGGCAATCTGCTTTTATCGCCTCTGAAAGTTTTTGTCGTCTTTTTGCATCGAGTCAGTTCGTCACGCCGCCGTCGCCGAAATTTCACCATCGACTCACTGTTGCCGAGCTCACGTGCACCAGCTCTGTTTCCTTCTTCAACAAACAGATCGATCGCCTTTAATTAAAAGCTACATCAAGTGCATTTCTTCGTGTGTTTTCCATGAGGAGGGTGTGTGTGTGAAGCGCAAAATAACTGTTCAAAACACAATCAAATGAGCATCTTCGTCGGCGCATCACCAATGTCTCTGCCCACGCTCTACTACGCATGTCTCCTGCAGAAAGAGCCTGTCTTGTCTGTATCATGTCAGTGTCTTGTAGGATTTCAGCAGATTTCAGACTCTCTCTGTTGTCTATCTCTAGTTGTCTTGATCAGGTATGAATGGATGTCCAGCTACTGAAGTTTGAGATGTTTCACACGGAGATAAACTATTTGAGTGCGCTGACAACATCACTAGCTAGTGTACCAACTTCAAGCACAGACAGCGCCGTTTTCTGCATTCAGGCTGTGTGCATCTGCTGTGTTGCTAAACTATAGACCGTTAAATGAATGGACAATGTGCCAAAAAAATAATCCGTCCATATATTTGCTGCACCATTGTACAAGACGCAGGGTTCAAAGTGTGAGAAAAAAGTAGCGGTTTATAGTTCGGAAATTACGGTAATACGTTCCCTTTGTGTCAGGTTGTAATCATCTCTGTCACACTAAAGTCCTCACCACGTGTCTGAGGTCTGCGGGGGGCTTCTGGATCTCCTGGAACTCTTTGACCTTCTCTGGGTCCAGATCCTCCTGCAGCTCCCACGTGGCCTCCTCGTAGGACAGACTGCACCACTTCACCAGGTAGTGTGTCACCTCCTACACAGAGAGGGAAGACCTGGTTTAGACCTGAGTTAGACCTGAGTTAGACCTGGTTTAGTCCTGGCTTAGACCTAGTATAGTGCTGGTTTAATCCTGGTTTAGACCTAGTTTAGACCTGGTTTAGTCCTGGATTAGTCCTGGTTTAGACCTGATTTAGACCTGTTTTAGATTTGCTTTAGTTCTAGTTGAACCTGGTTTAGACCTGGTTTTGACCTGGTTTAGGCCTGGTTTATATTTGATTTAGTCCTGGTTTAGTCCTGAGTTAGTTAGTCCTGGGTTAGTCCTGTTGAAGTCCTAATTTAGACCTGGTTTAAACCTAGTTTAGTCCTGTCTTAGACCTAGTTTAGTCCTCATTTAGTCCTCGCTCAGACCTAATTTAGTCCTGGTTTAGGCCTGGTTTAGTGCTGGCTTAGACCTGATTCAGATCTGAGTTAGACCTAGTTTAGTCCTGGTTTAGGTAGTACTGGGTTAGTCCTGCTCAAGTCCTGGTTTTGACTTGGTTTTGATCTAGTTTAGACCTGATTTAATCCTGGTTGAGACCTGATTTAGTCCTGGTTTAGTCTTGGTGAAGTCCTGATGGTCCTGGTTTTAATCCTTTGTGTCGCTTTAAACCATGTTTGTTCCATGCTTTACTTTGTGTTAGTTCTGTACAAGTTAAAACCCTAGTTTAGTCCCTGGTTTGGTCCTGATTTAGTCCGGGAATTGTTCTGGTTTAGTCCTGGTTTTGACTTGTGCTGCTTTAGTTCTTGTTTATTCCCAGTTTTTTACATCGTTTAGTTACAGTTCTGCCCCAATTTAGTCCTTAAATAGTCCAGTTTAGTCCTGCCACAATACGTCAAAACACGATCACATTTATATGAAAATATCTTTAGCTACAAGGTCTTATGTATTCATGAAACTGTAATTATTTTCTTATCTGTGACGTACCTCTCCTGTCTCTGTATCCGTGGTAACAGCCACCTCCAGCACTCGGTCCACCTCCACATAGTCGGGATTAAACAAATCCTCGTCAGGCTGAAAACACACAGAGAAGTACTTCAGTTGGTGAATGTAGACAACGTTATGTGGTTTGAGTCATTGGTTTGTGTTTAGGTCCAGTGTTTAGGCTGGACTTTTTCCATTTCAACTCATGTAGACTCATAGAACCACGGTTACAGAGTTAACTTTGATCTTTTTTTTAAAGGTCCCATATTACGCTAAATTGACTCTTGTGAGCTTTAAGTCATGTTATAATGCTGTTACCTCATCAAAGGCAGACTTGGAGTTGTGTTTTATTGCATTCACACATGTCTGAATAATCCTTTATTATTAGTCTGCCTTCATCTCCAAAGCTCAAAATGCTCTGTTCCACCTTGTGATGTCATGAAGCAATAGTTTTCAAGGCTACATTTACACTGAAACGAATCACTGTATCACCGTATCACCGAACCAGAAACGATTTGTGTCCAGACATGTCGTTTCTGTTTCCACAAGCCTTCCTTATCCACACACGCTTTGCACAGATTTGTTTACGTTTTACAGAAACCAAACATAAAATCACATGGCTAATGTGCATAAACTAAGCGCTCAAAAAACAGCTCGCTATTGTGCTCTGATGCGGTCCATCTTCTGTCGGACTAAAAAACACGACTCAGTGGATTATGAGTGTTCTTTCTGTGACAGAGGGGTGTTCTGCTGATGGTGAGTCTGTTCTGTGTTTCTATCACATTAGAAATGGTTCATGTTAAACTTTTCAGAGATTATACGTCTGCAGGTCGTACACATAGACCTTATATATGAATGGACATATTCTAGCCTTTTAGTGGTGAATAACTTCACGGCGCATAGACCTATGTCAGAGTATCAGCTTTTTCAGGCATCCACACAGTGCCGGACCAGCTCGGTATTCAAATGAATTCATGGGAGCAGATCGTTTCGTCTCTGGAGCCATTTTCCATCGGACTAATGTGGACGAACACTGCACCCACAACGAAAATGACTCGAATATGTACTAGTGTGGATGGGGCCCAAGTTAACAGTTCCTTTTACTGTTTGTCCAGTAGTAATTGGCAGTTCCAGGGCTGAAATGATCCAAATGATTGTTGTGAATGTGCATGGAGTTTAAAAACACAGTGGAGCACTTCCTGTATCACCACATGACATCACAAAGTGGAACAGAGTGTTTTCTGGATGAAAGCCTCAGCCTAAATATGCAGGGTTTGTGTGTTAAACATGTGAGAACAAAACAAAACACAACTCCAGGTAGGAAAAAAAAACATTATAATATAGACCAGAGTGTCAAAGAACATAATTTAAATCTACTGGGTGTTTGATTGACAGACAGTGTAACCAATCAGATGTTATCATTTTTGTCAGAAAATAACAGAGATATTAACACAAAGAAACTCAGAGAGCAGAATTCAGGTTTTTACTCACGGCGAGGAACAGTGGCGCAGGGTCACTTATCCCACGCTACGTATTTATTGAATCACACAGGTTACAAGAATAAATGGGCGGTAAAATTTTTCTGTGTGTGTGTGTGTGTGTGTGTGTGCGTGTGTGTGTGTGTGTGTGTGTGTGTGTGTGTGTGTGTGTCAGTTGTCAGGTGTAGGGAGGAATGTGCGTAGGGAGGACTGCACGTGCGGAAGATAACCGATAATGAGGAGCTGGTTTTCCCGTGAGAAACACCCTTTGATAACAATAAGACAAAGAAGCATCTATACAGCACTTGAAAAACTCTTTAACAATTTTCAAGTTTGGTCGAGAGCGTAACGTGTTTTAGTTGTTTTCAGTCGTTGTGCGGAGCTCGTGTGTGTATTAAAGAAGCGAGTAGTGGTTTAAAAAAGGCACACACATAGACCTCAACATGTTCGCAGAGTATTTTGATGTTGTTAACAATAGTAGATTATAGAAAATGTGCGTCTAGGCTACGTTCAGACTGCAGCCTGAAGTGATCCAAATCCGATTTTTTGGCCCCTATGTGACCTGTATCTGATCTTTTAATGACAGTCCGATTTTTTCAAATGTGACCCAGGTGATCCTGAAACAGATACATATCCAATCTTTTGACATGCGACTTCAGTCTGAACGGCCAAAGCGCATTCATCCGACCTACACGTTATCAACAAGCCACAAACGTCACTATTCTGCGCTGAAGTAGGCGAAAATTGTTAATGAACTCCATGTGACTGAAGTGACGCCACTCTCCGCTCTTGGCTACGTCTGCACATCCACACGTTCCTTTCAACGGACGTTGCTGCCGCTGTCCCACAAAACACCACGGCCAAAAACCTCGTCCTTCTCCTTCTCAGTCTCCTCTTTAAAACAAGTAAGTTGTTCATGTTCTGGCTCCGGTACGAGAGGAACTTTAAAATCTCCAGGTGCTCAATGCTCGCGTCCATGTTTGGACAACTTCCGTAAACACAGAGCACGCTCGCTGCAGTTGACATCGTCGTGTCCTCTAGTGCACATGTGGGACAATTTCAGGCCGTTTAATGTTCACACTGGAGATCACATACAAGTCGCATTTAATTGGAAATGTGAACGACCTCGCAAAAACATTGGATTTCACACAAAAAATCGGAATTGAGCGTTAAGCCCTGCAGTCTGAACGTAAGAGCATTTAGATGTTTATTTGTAATATCAAGAAATGCTAAGTGCTAAGAGCTGGCCCGCTATTATTACAGAGCTATTACCGCTTGTTTCTGACATGTTTGTTTGTTTTTATAGAGTGTATTATATTTTTTTCCGCCTCTGTTTGTATGTTTCACACAACCACACACAGAAAGTTCAACGTTTTCAACAAAAGTCATAAAACTTGCACCTTGGTGGTCACAACAATTATTAGCCACACAATTAGCTCTCTCCACAAGAATCAGAAAACAGTAATAAGTGATATGAGCCCTTTAACAGGTAAAATAATAAAAGAGCCAGGTCTGACCTCAGTGAAGAGGTGCTTCATCTGGGCCTGTTTGGTCCTGAAGCGTTTGATTTTCTGGTGGATCCTCGGGTCTTTCTCCAGCTCCTCCAGAGTGGCCCATTTACAGTGCAGGTACGAACTGAAAACCACAACAGAAGTACGACGTTATTCACACAATCATATGAACAAGAAAGACAGGACAGACCTCACAGGGAAGTCTAGTCTAAACTACAGACTGTATATATGTTCCAAATAGGAAGTGAGCATGGGGGCACTTCCGGCTCCATCATCTCTGGGTCCAATTGACTTTACGTTGAAACATTGTCGCCTCTTTCTGTAACTGCTGCTGTGAGCCTCATCATTTTGGTCTTAAAATATTCGTATTAACCAGCTCTACATGATCCTGCTGTTTTTATTTCGCTATTTTATCTGTAAATAAATTCCTATCTTAATATGGAACTCGGCTTCAAATTTGTCCTATAACTGCTAGCCTCGTAAGCTTCATTTGACTGGAGCTGAACACTATGGGTTCTGTCACACTCAGTCTACTTTTTTATAGTCTATATCAGGGGTGTCAAACTCAAATTCACAGAGGGCCAAAATTAAAAACTGGGACTAAGTCGTGGGCCAAACGAAATATTTACTAACAAATTTCAACATCAGCATGTTTTCTCTTCTTTTGAAATATGTAATGTTAAACCTTAAAATAAATGTTTAATAATAGTTTTGCTTAAACATTAGATCCAGAACAAACATAATATAAAATAATAACAAAATTTTAAATAAATAATGTCTCTACAGCCTATCTGTAGTCGACAGCCAGCTCTAATACATATCTGATATGATCTCATGGGCCAATTATCATTATATCACGAGCCAAATTTGGCCCCTGGGCCTGAGTTTGACATGACTGGCCTATAATAATAATCACAAACACAGGGAGAAACATCCAACTACCATACTAACCAAGCACTTCCTGACTATCAGATAATAAAATGCGTTGTAATTAGATGTAGAGAGTACACAGTAGGAGTGTGCAAAAATATTGAAATATCAATATATCGTATCGCTTAATGTGATGATACAGTATTGATATCGGGGACTGCTGTATCGATATATCGCCAAGAGGATTTTTTTGAATATTTTATTAAATTATTTTCTTACAGCGCTACAGTTTTGTTGTTTGTTTAGAGGAAGGAAACTTGTTTATGCAACACACTTGTCATTTTCACTGTTTTGAGGATTAAAATGGGCGTTTTCCATATGAACTTTGCACAAGAAGTGCTTTAACAAAGACTTTTAATATCACAGCCATGATTTAGCCTTTATTTTTTTTTACTGAACCGTATCGAATTGATTTGAAATATATAGTATCATGGTCTATCTATCGAGGTATGTATCATATCGGCAACTTCTTAATGATACCCAGTCCTAGTACACAGTGGACTTATTTTGACCTCAAGAGCAGCTTATACAATATACCTTAACTCGAGCAAGAGTAAATTCATTCAAATACATGGAAAAAAAAGTCAGGTACAGCTGTATCAGATTTTGACTAGTCTTTTTTTGTGGAAATCAAATCACACTAAACTCAACATTTTCAAGATTTTAATTCTGAATATTGATAAACAACAAAGCAAAACTGTATTATATTAATATGAATGAGGCAAAATAAAATAAAAAAAACAAACTTCTTTTTTTACCAAGTCTGACTCAAATATTCACTAAAAATGGGAAAAAATGGCATAAATTTTCTTAATGCATTTCGAGACGGGAGATTTTTACTGTTACAAATTTGAACTTTTTGTAAGTTTCGCTGCGTGTGAATACATTATTTCTGAATTTGAAAATAAAAACTCCCCGAAGGCCTTGGCTACATGTTTTATTCATCACCAGAGGGAATAAATTACAAACATCTTAACCTATTCATATCAGTGCTGCAGCCTGAACATCCAAGAGCTAAGTGCAAGAACAAGCAATGCCTCTCCAGGGGAATTTTAAGGATTCTGTGGTATTCCTCGGAGATCATTTTGTTTTAATTCATAAGAGGGAGGGAATGTCTCGAGGAATTTAAAGAGTTTTGGAGATAGGGGGATACCAAGCTGGAGGATTTGACTGCTTAGCATCTTTAAATGTAAGTAAACGCGACTGTAAAATTAGGCTTTTACCATTTACGGCTTTTATCTAAATTTAAACCTTTTTTATTTGTTAAATCATTTGAACAGGTCATGCACGCTTTTATCTCCTCTCGTTTAGACGACTGTAAAGCACTTTTTTTCCCCGGTATCAGCCACGATGCACTTTCTCGCCTACAATTAGTGAAAAATTCAGCTTTTTGCTGTTTTAAATGGCGTCCTTGCACTGCCTTCCAGTTCATTTTAGAGTTGATTTTAAGATTTTGCTGTTTGTTTTTAAAGCTTTCAATGGACTGGCCCCACAGTACATCTCGGACCTCATCCAAATTCACATCCCCGCGTGCGTGTGAGACTAAAACGAGACTTAAAACTAGAAGGAGCAGGGCCTTCTCTGTGGCCGGCCCCACACTCTGGAACGCTCTGTCCCCCCACGTCCCAACAGACCCCACCGTCGAGTGTTTTAAGTCTCGTCTTTTATTCACTTAGCCACTTTTATTCTTTTGCTTTTAACAGTTGTGTGGTCCTCTGTGTCTTTTATTTAGTTTACGTATTTACTGCTATTTAATGATTATTATGATTTTTGCTTTTATTTAGATTTTACTGGTTTTATTGTTTTAGGACCGAATTTGAGCAGTTTATCTTTTTGTTGTCTTCATTTTACGATCTCTGTGCAGCACTTTGGAAACTGCTTTGTTTGTAAAATGTGCTATAGAAATAAAGTTTGGATTTGGATTTAAAGGTGCAGTATGTAACTTTTTCTGGTGGGCAATTGGTCCTTCACCTGCTCGTCTCCAAGGAAATGATATTTGATATTGTGAGTAAAAAATATTCCACAGTAATGTAATAAACGTATCTGTTCTGTATTTATTAAATGTATGTTTTTTACAGCAAAAAAATAAAGATAAAAATTAAGAAAGATAAAAATAGAAATAAAATAAAAATAATAAAATAAAATAAAAATAATAAATATAAATAAAAATAATAAAATAAATAAAAAAAAATAAAAATAAATGATTTATCCACAGATCTGACTTGTATCTTTTAACACCACTGGACTGATGGTGCTTCCTTCTTGTCTCCATGGAGGCAACTTTAATGCCATACTGTGGAGCATTCCTACCAAGAACTAACATCTGCATGGAGACAAGCAGGCGTCAGACCAAACCCCAGTGCATCTATAAAAAACTAATCAAATTGAGAATAAATAAATCTCACTTTTTTCATGCTAACTTTGTACCTGACGTCACGTCGTTTGAAAACAGTTTGAGTCCAACACTTGACTTGCTGATTCGAAAAGTGATTATTTAGTCATAGCAATATTTTCTCTTCCACATCCGAAGTAACACTGACATAAAAAGGCCCAAGCCCACGTGGGGCTGACGCAGATCTGAAAATACCGGGTGTCAGTCAGACAGTGGAGAAGTGAGAATGCGCCGCCATGACACTTACAAGTTTCTGTATTTGACGTAGAACTCCTCCGCCTCCTCTGATTGGTCCTCTGATGAAGCCTGGAGACAAAAATGGCAAAAATGAGACACTGAATGCATTTAGTGTCCAATTAAAGTTGTTTTTTTTCTTCTTTTTTTTTTTTTAAAGGGCCCGTATTAAGCTACTTGCTGTCTGTGTTATAATATTGTTCCTCATGAAAAAAAAAAAAAAAACCTGAAGTTGTTTTCTTTCATTCGCACATGTTTAACACACAAACCCTGCATATTTAGGCTGAGTTCTTCTCTCAAACTGAAAACACTCTGTTCAACCTAGTGCTCCACTGTGTTTTTAAACTCCATACACTTTCATTAACCCCTTAACGCCTGAATTTATATAGATGCATATAAAAAAAAAAATGTTTTGTGTGTGTTTTTGCCTTTTAAGTAGATGGTAAATTAAGTTGAGATTATTAATTTGACTCTAGCAAAAAATAAATAAATAGAAACTTGGGTATGTTGCAAATTTGCGATAACTAGAAACAAGTGCTTGCCAAAAGTTCCTATGAAGGTCCTGGATACGCTCTAACCGACACTGAGGGAATGCAGCCACATATTTGTCGATTGGTCGCATATTTGTGACAGTCGCCGTTAAGGAGCTATAATTATTTTGATCATTTTCAACCCTGGAATTGCCAATCTTGCTAATCTTTGCTCAACAAAACTTAAAAACTAGCTGTTAACTTGAAAACTGGAGTGGAGCATTTTGAGCTTTGGAGATGTAGATATAAACTAATAATGCAGGATTATTCAAACACGCGTGAATGAAACAAAACACAGCTTCAGATCTGTTTTTGAGGAGGAAACAACTTTATAACATGGCTTAAAAATCCATGTATCATTCGTTAAATATTTTTTCAATATAAAACCAAAAATATCAAAACAAAAAACCAACTGTTTTCTTCATTATTTGTCTCCAAAAAAATAAATAAATGAAAAAACAGAATAATGGAAAAAACGGATACCGGCTGTTTCCCGTTTCCGTGACTTAAACTGAAATGCTGGACTTTTGCGCCGCATACGTTCTAAACCAGGACTGAACCAGAACTAAACTGGTCTCAGTCCTGGTCTCAGTCTCAGTCTCAATCATGGTCTGGTCCCAGTCTTAGTCCTGGTCTCAGTCTCAGTCAATGTCTGGTCCCGGTCTCAGTCCCGGTCTCAGTCAAGGTCTGGTCCCAATCTGGTCCCGGTCTGGTCCCGGTCTCAGTCCCGGTCTCAGTCCTGGTCTCAGTCCTGGTCTCTTTCCCGGTCTCAATCCCGGTCTGGTCTCGGTCTCAGTCCTGGTCTCAGTCCTGGTCTCAGTCCTGGTCTCAGTCCGGTCTCAGTCCTGGTCTCAGTTCCGGTCTCCGTCCCGGTCTCCGTCCCGGTCTCCGTCCCGGTCTCCGTCCCGTCCGCCGTCCCAGTCTCCGTCCCAATCCCGGTCTGTTCCCGGTCTCAGTTCCGGTCTTGTCTCATCTCAGTCCCAGTACCTCCGGGGCCCGTCCTGACACTCAGTACTAGTTTAGTCCTGGTTTAGTTCTGGTCCAGTCCTGGTTTAGTCCTGGCCTAGACCTGGTTTAGTCCTGTTTTAGTCCTGGTTTAGCCTTGGTTCCGTCCGTATGCAGCACAAAAGTCCAGCATCACAGTTTAAGTCATGGAAATGGCCTTTATCCAATTTTTCCGTGATTCATTTAAACACAAAATCAAAAACTGAAAAAACAAATCGTTATTTGTTTTTTCATTTTGGTTTTGGAGACAAATAATGAAGAAAACAGTTGGATTTTCGTTCTCTTATTTTTGGTTTTATACTGAAAAACAAATGAACGAACGATACACGGATTTTTAAAGCTCACAAGGGTCAATTTCGACTAATATCGGACCTTTAATAAAGACAGTAAAAGTTGTATATTGTAATTGTAAATGAGTAAAACAAAACTTTGCTGTCCTCATTAGACTACGTCACCTCAATAAGCAATTAAATGAAATATTTACAGAAAAACGTATTTATTTATAACTAAACTGAAAACACTGCATCTCCTCAACACTGCCCTACAACACTGTACTCAAGGCGATCAAAAATAATAACTAAAAAGGAATAAAAATGTATTGCATTTCATTAAACATAGTGCCATGAGGCTGCCCTGGTCCTCACCTCTTTCTTCACTGCTCTGACAGCCAAGATCTTCTCTATGATGTTGGCCTCGTCCTCGGGTGGCTCCTGACACAAGCAATAAAAATAGTTTATTTAAGTGCACTCAAAAAGGCAGCAAGTCTTAAGACATATATTTAAAATGCCCGGAGATTTTGGATTGATAAAAGTAGAGTATGTTTTTCGGTCGGCCTGGGACACCGCCGTAGGAGTTGGAGGAAGTGTGAGTGGAAAGAGAAAGTCTGTGAATGTGTGCTTAGACTCTAACCTCTGCAACCCAGAGAGGATGAAGTACAGCATGGATACTGAACTCTTTTCTGCGATATAATGGATCTTTATGGTATGATTTGGACTTTTTAAATCGTAATATTCAGCTAAAATGACTTAAAGGTTGTATGGAGGATTTTTTGTTTGTTTCAAATTGTCAGTGAAAGTTTAAAATACCATTACAGAGACGCAGCAGCCTTGTAATTATGATGACCAAAAAAAAAAAAAAAGAAAGAAAATCTATCAACTGTGGACGTGTTGAGGCCAGATAAACATCAGCCAATAGAAAACGAGGCTGCCTCATTTTCTATTGGCTGTCAGGTTGTCAATCAAACTCCCTACGTTTCTAAGGTAACTATGCAGCGGGTCTTAGGGGCTTTTTCTAATTGTGGCTCTCGCAGTTCGCATAAAGTTTGTTGCGATGTCGGACGAGAATCGACGACCAGTTCGCCACAAAAGAAAGTCCGTTTTTGACGTCGCTGAAAGAAGAAAAGGAGAAAAGGAGAGAAGACAAACTGAGGTGATTCTTGGAGATTCCTTCCAGCGATGGCGCGACTGAAGCGGACGAAGGGTCTAAAAACTGAGGTGTCGGTCTCTAAATTATTTCTAGAGGGAGCTGTGGAGGAGGAAGGTGGTGTCACGCATGCACTACATTTGAAAAAGGACTGTCGCTGGATTTCTCTTTCCTTAAAAAAATCCTCTATACAACCTTTAATAAAAGAAATAAAACCACTGACTTCAACGCTAGAAAACTGTGGTGCCCAATGGGAGCTGACGTCGCTGTAAACGTCATCACAACAAAGAGCTGTGAAGTTACCAGCACCTCCTATGGACCACTGCAGATCACACTTGTAAGCAGAGGATTTTTCGAGACGGTTCGCAAAAACCCCGGAAGTGCGAGTCCGGGCACCATCCAATCAACGAAGAGCAATATATTCTGTGTTGTCAACAATTCCCGAGATCAAGGATTTAAAGCCGGAACAAAGAGAATGTTTGGTGAATTTTATCAAGGGGAAAGACGTTATTGTCCTTCTTCCTACGGGATTTGGGAAAAGCTTAATATACCAGTTAGCCCCGTTAGTGGTGCATTACATAAATCATGACCAAACAGCAGCGATTGGTTAAATGACGACTGTAGAGCGAAGGAATTCCAATGCTGCGAGGTCAGACGGTTTCTACAAAGTGAAATGAAGTGAAACTGGCTGATGAATCAGGCTACAAAATGACTAAGCGATGTTCCGAATCCTTCGAGTATCAACAATTAAGAAAATAAAATTGGAGAACCAAGTAAGTACAGACCAGTGATGGTGAAATCGACAATACGGTAAGTTGAAAATAAGTGATTAAATAAAGATTACTCATGCACAGATCACTCCAAATACAACTTCTAAAGGGTAAATGAAGAACTGAAACAACTATAATGTGGTTAAAGCTCTGAAAAGTTGATTTCTGTTTTAAAATAGGTATTAGGATCTGTTGAATCGGAGTTGCCGGTGTCTAAACCTGCAGATAAAAGACACATTAAAGTTTTTCTCATTTTCAGGTCTCATGTGAAAGCTCAGAATAAACTGGATTTCTGCACAGAAACTTGCAACCCAAATGTGAGGCTCATTCTGCTTTCTGAGTCCCAAGAACCAAAATACCAAATTTTAACAAAAATAACTTTGTTCGTCATGGCCATTGTTTTTGTAATTAAAAATGACACAGCACTACAGTTGTTATCAGTAAAATCTACACTGCAAAAACTCAAATCTAGCCAAGTTAAGATGACTTGAATTAAGTTCGTTTTATCATGATTCGAGTAAATTTCACTCGACAAGTAAAAATATCAATAGAACAAGACTTTTGTAGTTAAAAAATGAAACTACATCTTGCTACACTTAAAGGTTGTATGGAGGATTTTTTTTGTTTCAAATTGTCAATGATAGATTATAGAGGTGCAGTAGCCTTGTAATTATGATGACCAAAAAAAAGAGAATAAAAATTCATCAACTCTGGACGTGGTGGGGCTAAACATTTGCCAATAGATAACGACACTGCCTCGTTATCTGTTGAGCTGACAGGCTGTCAATCAAACTCCCTACGTTTCTAGCGTAACTGACTTGCCTGCGCGCCGCCGGTACGTGGTTTACGTACGCCTGTCACGCAGTCCACAGACGCAAGACGCACAGACGCTGTTTACTCCACCAACGCAACAGTTCTTAGCGGCTTTTTTTGACCTATATCTTCCTCGCAGTTCGCACAAAGTTTGTTGCAATGGCGACAAGAATCCAGGAGCAGTTAGCCGCAAAAGAAAGTCCGTTTTTGAGGTCGCTGAAAGAAGAAGACAAGGGGAAAAGCAGCGAAGCCAAACTAAGGTGATTCTTGTGATTCATTCCAGCGATGGCGCGACTGAAGCAGACGCGAAGGGTCTAAAGACTGACGCACTGGTCGCCAAATTACTTCTGGACAGGTCACTTCTGCTTATTATGAAAACGTACTTTATTTCCAAGAGCTAGACAAACGTTTTTCAAGACACAAATGTGATATCCTATGTATGCAAAGAAAGAGTCCGCTTGCAGCTGCGTGTTGTAGTAGTAGCTTCATTCGCACTGAATCTCCGCGCACTCTTCTCTGCACCTCTTACTGCTCCTCTCCCCGCTCCCCATTTTGCTCTTCTCCCTGCTCATCACTTCTCCGCGCACGGAATCTCCGCGCACCGCTCCCCTCTAATCTCTCCTCTCCTCGCTCCCAATTTCGCTCTTCCCGCTGCTCCTCACTTCTTTTCCGTGCACGAAATGTCCGCGCACCCGCTCCCCCCGCTCCTCACTTCTCCGCCTTGCCTAACCAACACTGTAGTTAGTTGTTTACAAGTCATGTGCAGTGATGAGTACTTGTTTTCAAACCTGTTTCTGGCAGGAGGAGGCGTTTCTACGTAGGGAGCTGTAGGGGAGGGGGGGTGGTTTCACGCATGCGCAACATTTGAAAAAGGACAAACAGTCGCTGGATTTCTCGTTCCTTGGAAAACCCTCTATACAACCTTTAAGGCCGCCACACACTACTGGATTTTTTTTTCAGTCTTAAACAATTTTTTAAACGTGTGACAAAAAGCGCACACCACACGAGGAGAATCTTATGAGATTTAAAACCAAAACCAAAAAACAAAGACTGCAGTGCAATCTGTCTGCACATCACAGGATATAAAGTTGTGAGCGCGATCACGACAGCTGTTTCCTGTCTACAGTCAAACCACTCGCTTTGAGACTCTTAAGTGTTACAAGATCAGAGCACTGCACTTCCAGTTTAGATACAAGTCAAAACTGTGTTATTATTATTCGTGAAATGTGTTGCAAAACTTCAAATACATGATTTTTAAAGCACATCAGATTGGTGATAAAGTACACAGGAAGTAGAGTCACTATTACTAATCTGCAGCTTCAACTCGATCCGTGCGCTGTGTGGATATAAACAGACACACGTGAGGAACTACTCTCGCCTTTTTACTTTCAAAGAACGCCTCAAACCGGATTAATAATGCGGTTTTGTGGACTGGGAGGTAGAGAAAAACCCCACACACCGTCTTACTTGCAAAATGTGAGATTTAGTTCATCATTATCAGGCTGCTGAAGGCCTAGTGCTGAAACGTTGCACGGTTTCTCCCAGAGGTGGGACCAAGTCGTTGTTTTGCAAGTCTCAAGTAAGTCTCAAGTCTTTGAAATCAAGTCCGAGTCAAGTCCTAAGTCAAATACAGGCAAGTCCAAGTCGAGTCTCGAGTCACTGACGCATAAGTCCAAGTCAAGTCCAAGTTGTCTGCTTTGAGCTCCAAATCATTTCAAGTCTTTAAACCAAAATACCAAATATAGCCTAGATTTTAAACTAAATTGTACTTTTAAAAAAATCATAGTATATTTATATATGAGTATGTAAGAGTATGTACATTTTTTGTTTTTAAATGTTTTGACAAGATCTTAGTGTGAATCATTACAGTCAGAATAAAAATAATTCAGATTTAAAAGTGCTTCTGAAGTCTTCTCATGTCACAGGCCTCAAGTCCGAGTCAAATCCCAAATCACTGACCTTCAAGTCCAAGTCCAGTCCCAAGTTTTAGTCCATTTTATCAAGTCAAGTCTCAAGTCCTAAAAATAGTGATGCAAGTCTGACTGCAAGAACCCAACTTCTGGTTTGTCCTAATATAAATCTCCTATTTTGCAAGTAAGACGGTGTGCAGGTGTGCTCTATGTTCTTGGGCTGCTCCCTCTCCTCCAACGCACCTGCCTCAAGTAACTGATGTGCGGAGGTAAAATTCTATGGATAATGTGGATGAGATGCTGCACTTTAAATATAATGCTTATGGAATAAAGTCTTCTCATTATTTTTGCTCTATCTCGAGTTTGTATCTCGCGTCTCTGTGTCCGTCACTCCGTCTGACCCTGGCGCTCTCTTTTATTGGCTGTTACCGTAGCGTTGCTGATGTTTGGTGGTTATTTGGTGGCACACGGACACCACACACACACACACACACACACACACACACACACACACGAGGAGGAGTGGCTTCAAAATCGCGCACAAAAACAAAAAGTCCGGTCACGCAGGGAGAAGAAATTGCGGCCAAAATTGGGCAAATAGTGTGTGTGGTGGCCTTTAAGACAAGAAAACAACAACTCTTTGCACTTAAAATAAGAAAAAAAATCCAGTGTTGCTTGCATTAAGAAATCACACTTATTCCATACGTAGATCATTTTACGTGTCATGTTGAATTAGGGATGGGCATGATTAATCGATTAATCGATAATTGATCATTAAGAATTTCATCGTTTACGTTAATTTTAATCGACAAACCGAATGTAGGTTGATGTGCGTAGCGTGACCAAACAGGGGTCTGTACATGTGTCTCTCTGCACTCAGAAGGAGCGAGACACAAACAGAAACATTCGGTCAGTCTGCAGCGTACTGAAGCACAAATGCGTATTTAACGATGACTTGTACAAGAAATTCCATGCTTTCCATTGCGTTCGGGACAAGTGTGAGTCCATGTGCACAGTGAACAAAGCAGCACATATGTTTCGGTGTCCAGTGGGAAAAAGTTTTGCCAGGTGAGAGTCGCGCAATGTCGATGACGAGTCCCCACCTCCCTCCCCGTACGGTGTCCTGGTTTTGACAAACGCAAATATGGTCACACTAACCTGTATTCCACTGAGTCATGTCTTTTAATCCGACAGAAATTGACCGCATCAGCGACACAAGAGCTGTAGTTTTTATCTTCGCTTAGTTTATGCAAATTAGCGATGCGGTTTTAAGTTTCGTTTCTGTGAGAGTTGCACAAAACTGAATTAAACACATTATAACCTCAAACGGATTGATGTGGCTCTAGAGTCGTTACGGTTTATATGTCGTAAAGTTGAATTTATTTATACAGATTAGTAGTGCAGATAGTAATAATAATGATGATCATTTTAATATAAAACGTTAATGATTAATCGATAATCGATCGTTAATTCTTCCGACGATCGATTAAGAAAATTTCATCGAATGCCCATCCCTATGTTGAATCTACTGAAATAAAGAAAAATATTGTTATTTTGACGTAAATATTGCTTTGTGCAGTGTGTATTTGATTTGTTAAAGCTTGTTTCATGTGTGTGTGTTAAAAATGTGAGACCGCAGCCCGTCCCACAGTGTTACCTCCGCCTGCCAGGCCAGAGCTGTGGCGTTGAGAGCAGAGATCCTCCCCGCCCCCAGCACCGCAATGGTCTCCCCGTCATCGTCCACCACCTTAAAGTCCAGGTCCTCGTTGTACTTCCTCCTCTTCACCTGTCGCCCCGAACGCCGCTTCTGTGGAGGAGAGGGAAGGACGGGGAGGTTAAAGCTGCACTATGTAACTTTTTTTGTTAGGGTTTCTGCTTGTCACTTGCTTGTTTCTGTGGATATGCCATTGCTCTGCCTGGAAAGTTTCACGGTATGGTATTAAACCTTTCTATATTCATGGAGAAAGGAGTTTGGTGAAGATCTACAGACTTTAAAGAAGACCTATTGTGCTCGTGTCTGTTCTGAAGTTATAATCTATGACGCCCGTGGATCATTATGTTAGAATTTGCACATTTTAAACCTCAATATTCATCTAAAATGACAGGTCTGCTGACTTCTGCGGTAGAAAACTGTGGTGCCCAATGGGAGCAGATGTCGCAGTTGTCATCACAAAAAGACTCAGCAACTCCGACTGATGGCCTCAGATTTTTTTTTCCATTTGTACCAACACGACTACACAGTGCTGCCGAATCATACATGTGTCACTGGTTAAGAAAATAAAACTGGAAAACGAAGTAAAAATAGAGCGGAGGGAGTATGCCGGCAGCGCTGAAAACACTAGACCTTCACTAGAATCATTTGGATGGTTTCAGGCCTGGAATTTCCAATCTCTGTTGAACTATAAAAGGTAGCTGTTAACTTTAAAACTATTACTGAATGATATCACAAGGTGGAACAGGACATTAGGGCATTAGGGCTTCAGATATGTGAGCGCGAATGAAACAAAACACAACCCTGGGTATGTTTTTGATGCGGTAACAACATTATTACATGGGTAATTTTGTGTACCGTACTTTTTGTACTATAAGGCGCAGTTAAAATCCTTTAATTTTCTTAAAAATCGACAGTGCGCCTTACATATTCATTCTGGTTGGTGCTCATTCTGGTGCTTACTGACCTTGAACTGATTTTATGTGGTACACTGCGCTCAAAATCTGTCAAAATGTTTTAGTACGACTTTGGTAAGCTACGAAGCCGCACCGTTTGATGTATTGTCGGCGCTTTATGGCTACTGTAGTCAGCAGCCTCACGGAGTAAAGGGGGAAGTATAGATCTGCGTCGGCATTTCTGACATCAGTGAAATGTCACAGAAAGAACACACATATTCCACTGAGTTGTGTCTTTCAGTTCGATAGAAGCTGAACCGCATCAGCGCACAAGGAGCAGCTGTTTTTTGAAGAGCTTATAGTTTATGCAAATTAGCCATGTGGTTTTAAGTTTGGTTTCTGTAAACGCAAACAAATGTGCGCAAAGCTGCATTAAACACATTATTACTCAATGTATATTTGAGTCGTCCTCGTAGGAAATAAAAAAAAAAACTTAAATTATCCACCCACATTCACATTCATAATACACATTCACCAAGACAGGGAGGCAACGCCGGGTGAATTACACCACGATCTGCCGATGGATCGTGGATGCCTGGGCTAAGAGATCAGTCTCAAGTGTCGTCTGTTTGTTTCACTTAATGCAACTTATAATCTGGTGCGCGTTATGTATGAAAATAGATGAGGAAATTCAGAATAATCGATATTGAGCCTTATAATCTGGTGCGCCTTGTAGTCCAAAAAATACGGTAATATAGGAATTGAATTATTAAATGTTCTCTTATGTGTTAATGTTACTGAAAATATTTAAAAACATAAAAGGAATTATGACTTAAAAACATGTGTTTCTTAGTTTTATCTCAAAAAATTAGTCAAAGATCTGTAAGTGAGTTCTGTTTCTCCCACTCACGCTGCTGTCCAGAGGGTCCTGGCTGTCCTCTCCCCCCACAGTGAGGCCGGACGTGGAGGTGGTGTCATCGCTCTCCACGGCCTCCAGGAGCAGCTCCTCCTTTCTCCTCTTCCCCTTCTTCTTCTTCTCCACCGGCAGAGAACCAGCCGCTCTGAGGAGATAAAGAGAAATAGACAGGAAATTAAGGAGAGGTATCGATAAGGAAAGTCTAATTGTACAGTCGTGATGATTGATTATTGAGACCAGGAATGACATTTTAACTCAGTTCTTTTGACCAGCCAAGTCCAGTCAACAAAACAGTTGGTTCATCAAATGTCTAAAAATACAAAATTATAATGACAAATTCTCTTCACTAAACATTTAAAGGGCCCATATTTCACTATTTTCAGATCTGTTATAATGTTTATCCTCATCACAAACATACCTGGAGTTTTGTGTTTTGTTTCATTCACACGTTTGACACAAACCCAGCTAAAAACACTTTGTTCCACCTTGTGATGTCATCTGGTAATACAGGAAGTGCTCCACTGTGTCATATTCACTAGAATCATTTGGAAGATTTCAGTCCTGGAAATGCTCATCTTTATTGAATTAAAGGTCAAATGTAGCTGTTAACTTGAAAACTACCTCTTCATGACATCACAATGTGGAACAGCGCATTTTGAGCTTTGGAGATGTAGACAGATTAATAATAAAGGGTTACTCAGACATGTGTGATTGAAGTAATAACATTAAATCCCTATTCTAAAGCCCTATTCACATGGGATTAGTATTACCTGTGGACCTTTAGTAAATGGTAAATGGTCACATTTTTCTATAGCACTTTTCCACCTTCAAGGCACTCAAAGCGCTTTACAACAAGGAACCACTCACCCATTCACACACACATTCACACACCAGTGTACGCAGACACTGTGGGCAAGGTGGGTTAAGTGTCTTGCCCAAGGACACAACGACAGCATTCATCTCTGGGAGCTGGAATCACACCAGCCAACCTGTGTGTCAGTGGATCTGACCGCTCAACCTGTGATGTTTATGTCGAGAGCTGGAATCAAACCACCAACCTTCAGATCAGTGGGCGAATGCTCTACCAACTGAGCTACTGCAGTGTGATAGTGATTTTGTAATAATTGTAGAGGATGCCTGAGATTGTCTGTAATTTTGTAAAGTAAAACTTCTTCTGTAAATTACCTTCTATATTTCATCAAACACAGACGTCCTGGTGATAATACTAGTACCGTCTGAATCTATATCTCAGTGTTCGCTGTTGTAATTGCGCGGCTTTTCTATCTCTTTCTTTTCTTTCTATGTCTCTTTCTCTATGCCAATGTCAGTAAAATAGGTAATTTGCGGATTTTGCTTATCCCGTGCGAATGAGCCACAAGTAACACAGAGGTGGGGCGATAATTTGCAAATTACCAGACGTCCCCAGGTTGTACTTATCCCATGTGAATAGGGCCTCACATGAATTACAGCTTACAAGAGTCAAGTTTGTATAATATAGGACCTTTAAATAGACACTAAAGCCCTATTCACATGGGATTAGTTTTACCTGGAGTCTGCCGGTAAATTGCAATAATTATGAACATTGTCTTTATTTCTAGACCCGTGTGAATCGTCCGTTTCTGTAAAAATGTCTGTAAAAATTCCTCCAAATATGACTGTAATTCTGTAAACTCAGAGCCCCTCATGTGATTCTAGTTCTGTATGAACGCCCATGTCTGTAAACTGCTCTGTTTTTGCTGTTCTTTTAAAGGTGCACTGCGTAAATTTTCTAGTGGAGGGTCTGCTACCTGCTCGTCTCCATGGAGATGTTATTGCTTTGCCTGGAACGTTCCATGGTATGGCATTAAACACATCTATTTAGCATTTCTTCATAACAGGTGTTTCTATTTCTCAAAAATACAAAATATTCAGTCTGTGAATAGGGGTGACTTTCCGCAGATCTGAACTGTAATGTAGCGTAGTGCTGTAACCTGCTTGTCTCCCTCATAAAAAAATGGGTTTAAACTATACCGTGGAACATTCTAGCAAAGCAATAACATTTCCGTGGAGACAAGCAGATGGTGGACTCTCCACTAGAAATGTTACACAGTGCACCTTTAAGTTAATAGTGACTCTCGATTTTAGGTCCAAATGTCAATGCTCTGCTGTGAATGTTCCACAGTATGACATTAAACAACTCTACTTTGCATTTATTCAGTTACAGGTGGTTTTATAGCTCAAAAATACCTAGAAAAACAGAGATTCTGAATGTGAGCCAGGTTGTTTCGTCACAGATCTGACCAGTAACTTGGTCTGGTTTAGTCTCCATGAAGATATAAAGGATTAATGCCATACTGTAAAACATTTCAGACAAGGGAATAACATCTCCATGGAGAAAATCAGGTGATGGAACCCCCACCAGAAACATTACACAATCCATCTTTTAAAAAAGTGTATGTTCTAATGCAGGGGTGTCAAACTCAAATTCACAGAGGGCCAAAATTAAAAACTGGGACTAAGTTGTGGGCCAAACTAAATATTTATTGAAAAATGTCAACAATATCTGCATGTTTTCTCTTCTTTCGAGATATGTAACGTTAAACCTTTTCTTATTAAAATACATTTTTAATAGTTTTGCCTAAACATTGAATCCAGAACAAGCAAAATATAAAATAATAAAAAAATATTTAATTTTAGTCTATCTTTAGCAGGCGGGCAACTCTAATACATATTTGAAATGATCTCACGGGCCAAATATAATTATATCGCGGGCCAAATTTGGTCCCCGGGCCTGAATTTGACATGTCTGTTCTAACTTGTATAATAACATGCATTTGACTTTGTTTTAATTATAATATTTATTTTATTGATTATATTTAACTAGCTTCTTACGCGCTTAATATTGCCCTTCAAACTTTATTTTTTTCCAAATGTCAGTAATAAAACTGCTAAATCAAAAGTGTTATGTTTCATGTATCAAATACGAACTAAATTGACAATATTTATTCTCCACTGACTATAAAACAAGCTGCAGCAAAAACGTGACCCTGAAATACAACCCCGTTTCCGTGGCAACCAAGGACCAGCAGCATGGAGCGTCTATATGGAAGTTTGAGTAGTTTTGGTGCAAAGTTTGGACGGAGAAGAGGCTGAACAGCGTAAAAGCGAGAGACCAATTGCATAAATATGGTAAGAAACACAGTGCGTATCAGAATTTATTTTTCCTGCAATAAAAATCCTTTGTGAAACCAAATTTATCTACCAGAAGCGTTGGAGTCTGATTTATTTTTAAGACAGTTCTCCCTCCATTGCTCTCATAGATAACAATATTCAGATACATATACAGTCTTTTTTACTTTATTCATGAGTCATATATTCCACCTCTAAATGTCCAAATCAATTGTCTATTTCTCACCTTTACAAATGAAAAGGGACAGACCATAACAACCCTTAAATGATCTATTACAAACCCAGTCGAGAAGTAGCTATAACTCCTAAAGGTTGACATCTTTACTGCTACCTTGTTCCCATTGCCGCCATTATTGTCCACTTGAAGACAGGCGTAACTGCATCTTTGGTTTTTTATTGTTTCGGATGTCCATAAATTACTATTACTGTGCTGTGTCCCTGTGCGTGGAGGAGGTACTCACTTAGGCTTGCGTCCGCGCTGTTTGGGGCCGGAGGGGGGAGCGCGGTGGTGGGCCGGACCGTTGCCCTTGGCCTGGGAAGCCTGGTGGTGTCCGGAGACTTTGCTGGAGAGGATGGGAGGAGCTGGGGCACCTGCGGAGGAAAAGGGAAAATAAAAATCAATAATTAACATAAAAGGTGCATTGTGGATTGTGTAACTTTTCTGGTGGAGGGTTCGTCAAATACTTTTCTCCCTGCACTAGGGCTGCTCGATAATGGAAAAAAAAAGATCATTATTGCAATTATTTTGGTCAATATTGAAATCAGGATTATTTCAAATGATTATTTTTTTGTTACACGATGCTTTTATTCAGAATTTCTCTCTCTTTCTCAAAAAAAAAAAACACTTTGTTTTTGATAATTACGCGAAACGTTCACATTTAAAACAAATACAGGCTACAAATATGAACCTTAGAGCAGTTTTGCGATGTAGAAAACATAAAATTAATAAAATATACTTTGAACACAAAGTAAGGCACAGAAAAACATAAAAGTATAAAAAATATGCTATAAATCCAGCTGTTCTACAATCTCTATAGTTAAAAATAAAATAAATATACTTATTTATATTAAAAAATACCCCAAAATAAGCTGTGTTAAGCTTTAAATCATTTCAACTTTATTATATGAGATTGGAAATCGAAAGAAAATCAAAATCACAATCAAAATTCGGTTATTTGCACAGCCATGCAACCATGCACTGTAAAACTTTTCGGTTGGGGGTCCTTCACCTTCTTGTTTCTATGAATATTTCTGTCTGGAATGTTCCACAGTATGACATTAAACAGCTCTAGCTTACATTTATTCAATTACAGGTGGTTTTACTGCTAAAAAATACCTACAAAAACAGGCATTCTGACTGTGAGTGGGGTCACCTTTCCACAGATCTGACCTGTAACTTGGTCGGGTTTGGCCTCCATGAAGATAGAAAGGTTTAATGCCATACTGTGAAACATTACAGACAAAGCAGTAAAATTTCCATGGAGAAAATCGGGTGACGGACCGTCCACGGGAAAAGTTACACAAATGCAAATGTTCTAACTTGTATAATAACATACATTGATATATTTATCTTATTGAATAGCTTCTTACAGGCTTAATATTGCCCTTCAAACTTTATTTTTTTCCAAATGTCAGTGATAAAACTGCTAAATCAAAAAGGTTATGTTTCTATGAATTGCAGTCAGACATGATTCCTTTACTTTGTGTAACCATAGAAACATGCAACAGTTCCAGTTTTAAATAGAAGCATAGGAAAAGCATGTTTATGTGCGCAAATCTTGTTTTTATTATTAGTTGTTTTGACAGTAATGTGACTCTTAAACATAAAAACTGACTCTTGTAAGCTTTAAGCCATGTTATAATGTTGTTACCTCATCAAAAACAGACCTGGAGTTATGTTTTGTTTCATTCACATGTGTTTTAATAACTTTTATTATTAGTCTGTCTACATCTACAAATGTGGAGTAAGAAAGCTTTCAGAAATATTCGTGTGCAAAGGATAGAAATCTGTTGCCAGGTTGGGGCCATGTAGTGCCTCCACTCAATTTCAGGTCAGGAATCGGAATACACTAGACGATTCGCAAAAAAACCCGGAAGTGTGAGTTCAGGCACCAGCCAATCAGCAAAGAGATATTTTGTGTTGGCAACGATTCCCAAGATCGAGGATTTAAAGCCGGAACAAAGAGAATGTTTGGTGAATTTCATCAAGCGGAAAAAACGTTATTGCCCTTCATTCTACGGGATTTGGGATTTTTGTGTATTTTATCCATCAGAATACAAATTGAAAAGTTACGACATCAAGAATTACAATCACAAAATGAAAATATAGGATTACACTTTCTTCAGTACGAATACAAATTCACAGACTCTACTGTCAAAAATATGTCCTCACTTCACAGGCATTATTTATTGAGCAGAAAAAACATCGATCGAAATGCCGGACTCACAATGTAGTTTACAAGTTAACATATACCTTTTTACCTTTTGTTCAGCAGAGATTGACAACTTCAGGGCTAAAATGATCCAAATGATTCTAGTGAAGGTGTATGGAGTTTAAAAACACAGAGTAGCACTTCCTGTATTACCACATGACATCACAAGGTGGAATGTGTCGTGTTTTCTGTTTCAGAAAAGAACGGGTTTGTGTGTTAAACATGTGAGAATGAAACAAAACACAATTCCAGGTCTGTTTAGATCATAAAATAATGTAATATGCTTTCAATTATGACAGGTTCCAATATTCTTCTGGACTTCACTGGTGTTTTCATGAAATATGTCCAAAAACTTCAAAAATCCTCCCTCAGTTAAATCCTACGGGTCTACTGATACTTTGCAGCTAATAATCTGCCTACTTTGAACCGTAATAGCTTTAATAATAATAATAAATAACAAACACATTTTAAAGGCTAGAGCAGAGTTATATCACAGTAAAGCCAACAAATATTAGCATGCTAACAGCACACTTCCTTCTCCATGGGGAATAAACGCTCTAAGATTAGACAGACAGCACACAGCAATCTCATTTCAACCGTAAGAACTGTTTTATATAGATCGGAAATGGGAACAAAACAGATTAATTTTACTCAAACTTTGAATTTCCTTTGGGATCAATAAAGTATCTATCTATCAAAATGAAAAAAATATATAAATTAAATTTTAAAAAAGGTAGAGCTCACTTGACTGTGCCAGGTCATTGCTTAGAAATGTACATATTATAATACATTTTTTCCATTTTTCTTTTCTTTGTGAATCATTTTGTTTTCCAGTGAAGAGGAGCTATTTCCATATCTATCCAACCAGCTCTAAAGAACTTGCCTCCCACATGCACCGACATTTACAAACCGCGCTGATGAAACACTAAAATCCCACTCTCCGGAGGTCCCTTGAAGGCAACACGATGAGCAGTAGCTTTAGGGGCGTTTAAGGACAGCGGGAGACTTTGAAACATTTCCTTTTGTTGTCGACCAAAACAAACACTTGTGAAGACCAGCTGAGCGGAGAGAGAGACTCCACACTCTCAAGATCTGGGAGCCTCTTCCTCTGAAATATCTGACGCCTTTGTTATTAAAGGTCCTGCATTACGCAATATTGACTCTTGTGAGCTTTAGTCTTGTTATGACGCTGTTACCTCATCATAAACATACCCGGAGTTGTGTTTTCTTTCATTCATACATCTCTGAGTAATCATTTATTATTACTCTACATCTTCAAAGCTCAAAATGCTCTGCTCCACCTTGTGATGTCATGAAGTGGTTGTTTTCAAGTTAACAACTACCTTTTACATTTTGTTCAGAAACTGGAAATGCCAGGGCTGAAATTATCCAAATGATTCTAGTGATGCTGTATGGAGTTTAAAAACACAGTGGAGCACTTCCTGTATCACCACATGACATCACAAAGTGGAAAAGAGTGTTCTCTGTTTGAGAGAAGAACTCAGCCTAAATATGCAGAGCTTGTGTGTTAAAAATGTGAATGAAACAAAGCACTCCAGGTCTGTTTGTGATGAGGAAACAATATTATGACACAGATCAGAAAACAGTGTGCTTGAGCCTGATATATAGTTATGATCTATAATAGATGATTATGACGGCGCATTATGTTGTCATTTGCATATTTTAAATTGTAATAATCATCTAAAATGACTCAATAAAATAAACAAATCCACTGACTTCTGTGTTAGAAACCTGTGGTGCCCAATAAGAACTGACATCGCGATAAATGTCATCACAATAAAGAGCCGAGGAGTTGTTGACCCCTCAGATGGACAGTCACATCACACTAGCAAGCTGCAGATTTTTTTTCAGCTGTAGCAAAATTGAACACACTGTCGAATCGTACGTGTGTCAAAATAAGAAAGTGAGAAAAAAATACATTGGAGAACAAAGTAAATAGAGAGTAGTGGGGGTTTACCCACATAACTACCTAGTGCTGCCACTCAAATTCATTTCCCTCCAGCGACTAGGTCAGGAATCGAAATACAGTAGATGGTTCGCAAAAACCCTGGAAGAACGAGTCGAGACACCAGCCAATCAGCGAAGAGTCATACATTTTGTGTCGGCAACAATTCCCGACATTGAGGATTTAAAGCTGGAACAAAGAGAATGTTTGGTGAATTTTATCAAGGGGAAAGACGTTATTGCCCTTCTTCCTACGGGATTTGGGAAAAGTTTAATATACCAGTTAGCCCCGTTAGTGGCGCATTACATACATCACGACCAAATAGCAGTGACTGGTTAAATAAATAAAAAAAATGTCAAAAGAAACAGAAAATGCACACCAAAATTCTTGTAGAGGTGCAATTGCAAGGAGCAGCAAGACAAAAATGTGTGTTTGCGTGCTGTGGTCTAAAACAAGAAAAATATCTGATGAAGGCTTTTTTGCCGAAACATTATTTTAAAAATAAAAAAGCTTTTGGACATCCGTCATCTGACTGCGCTATGCATTTTTTCAATTTTTCACCAGCCATCGAGTGACTGAATCCAATGCTGCGAGGTCAGACGGTTACTACAAAGTGAAACCGGCTGATGAATCAGGCTAATACCCACAGGGATTGATAGAAAAAATGGCATCTTGTCAATAATTAATTAACCGCTGGGTTTAAATAACGCCTTTCAAGACACCCAAAGAGCTTTACATTGCAGTATTTATTCACCCAACGCTCTGTGGCGGTAAGCTGCTACTGGAGCCACAGCTGTCCTGAGGCAAACTGAGGGAAGAGTGGCTGTCAATCTGCACCATCAGCCCCCCTCCAACCACCACTAAAATCATACACACTTTCAAACTAGGCAATGTGGGTGAAGTGTCTTGCCTAAGAACACAACATTTTTGGCACTGGCTGCACAAATCACTCCAAATACAACTTCATATGACTAAATATGGATGGATGGAATGGATAGCAGTCTAAAACTTGATAAACAAATAGATTCAGTGGTCAGTGCAAGCTTCTTTCAGCTCCGCCTCCTGGCAAAAGTTAAACCCTTCTTGAGCCGTGGTGACCTGGAGAAAGCCGTCCATGCCTTTGTTAGTTCCCGCATAGACTACTGTAATGCACGCTTTGTGGGGATTAATCAAGCTGGTCTTCACCGTTCGCAGCTCGTGCAAAATGCTGCAGCTCGCCTGCTCACTAACAGTCGGAAACATGACCACATCACCCCTGTCCTGTCCTCCTTGCACTGGCTCCCTGTCCAGTTCAGAATTCCTTTTAAAATTTTGATGTTTATTTTTAATGCAGTCAATGGTCTTGCACCTTCCTACTTGTGTGAGATTTTGACCCCTCAGATCCAGCAGAGCTCTACGATCTGCCAGGCAACATCTGCTGGAGGTCCCCCGGTCCCGGTGCAAACACTGGGGTGATTGTTCTTTTGCAGTGGTCGGTCCAAAACTCTGGAACTCTTTGCTGATTGAGTTACGGTCCGTCCCTGACCTGCCTTTGTTCAAAGCCAAACTTAAAACCTACTTATTTAGAACAATTAGTGGCCCTGTGACACTTTCTTTATTTTAATGGTGTAATGTGCTTTGTTGACCTATTTGTATGATGTTTATTGTTTTTTATCTTGTTTTAATGTTGTACAGCACTTTGGTCGGCTTTGGTTGTTGGAAGGTGCTATAGAAATACAGTTTGATTGATTGATTAAATATGAAGAGGGAAACGATTATAACATGGTTTAAAGCTCTAAAAAGTCAATTTTGTGTAATTAGTCTACTTTAAATCAGTGTGAAAAGGGAGTAAGTGAGCAGAGTAAACATCACAAACTAAAGTAAGTCCTGTTGATCTATTATGGTTCACACACATTTCCCTTAAGTCTTTCCCCCATGAAGACAACATTTGACGACCCCCCCCCATACCCTTAATGACGTCTTTTGACACCTCCGCTGTATCACGAAAGACCTGATTTGACATTAGAAATGACTCAGTTTTTCACATGCAAACAGAGGCTGTGATAGGTCAGGGTCACTACAACCCACACTAGGCTGACCAATAGGATTCAAGGATATGTTTTCGCCGATTTTTTCTGAAGTTAATCGAAGTTGTGACGATTGTAGCTTCCGGAAAAAACACAACACGAAACACGTGCAATGGAAAGATCGCGGCGCACAGTTTTAGAAATAATGAGGAGCGGACGTATTTTATGGATAAGTTTAGAGAAAGTGACTTTTATAGATTTCAAAGTGATGAAGAAGTTGATTATAAAGTGGAAAACAGCGATAGCGACGGAATTTCAGAGAGTGAAACTTACGAAGATGAGAATGCCAGTGATGTCTGTATGGAGTCCTACGATATCCCAACAAACTATCCGGGCTTTATACTCGATTATGAACCAAAAATGCCCCAAAATCTGGATGTTGCTCGGACGAGTCCTTTGAAATATTTCAGTCTTTTTTCCAAGATACGATGTATGACCGAATTGCTACAGAAACAAACGCTTATGCTTGGCTATACTGTATCTGGTGATATGAAATCTGTTGAAATACTTTGACAAATATATTTTTTTAATTTTTTATGAATATAGTGCTCAGAACATGCATATATTAGATGCTGAATGTAGTTTTGTGTTTTCGATTTTGCACCTGACCAGGTAAACTCTCAATTCTCAGTTGAATCACATTTAAACATCCATAAATGAAGAGTTCAGAGTCTAAGGTTTCCAGAGATACCAAATATGTCTGTGTTCATGAGTGTGAAAATCATTTATAATCACTTGTGGAAGTCTGTTTTCTTTTATGCAATTATGCTCTAAGGGTAGCCCTAGGAATATATGTCAGGGTTATTCCTAGTCGGCGTCCAAGGAGGAAAGAGTTTAACACACTTCCAGAAGCTGCCCTTACCTTGCCCCGGAGGTATAGGAGGTAGGATCTTGATCTTGGGTTTGCGTCCTCTTTTCCCCGGAATTTTAATGGGAGCCACAGCCGCCCCGGGACCTACGGCGTTCACGTGCCTAACCCCCGTCGTCCCATTGTCCTTTCTAGCATCCTTGGTTTTACTCTTCCTCTCCTTCCTCTCCTTGGGCTCCTTGGTCTTCCTCGGAGTCAGCACCACCACGGTCGGCCCCCTCTCCTTCTCCTCTTTTCTTTTCTTTGGTTTACTGCTTCCTCTCTGCTCCTCCTCCACATCCCCGATTCTTTCGCGCTTGTCTTTTTTCTTGCGTTTTTTCTTGACCCTCCCCCCTCCGCCGTTGTCGTCATCGTCCTCTTCCTGGTGGGACGCTTTGATGGTCGCCGTACGGTGATTGGACGTCGCCGAGCTGCCGACCGGGGTCAGGAGGCGGAGCTGGTCTTTGGGGCCCACGACCAGGTGACCCCGCGGGATTGTGGGTAGCGGAGGTTGCGTGGGCTGTGCGTCGTGGTTGTTTTGGTCCGAGGCGGAGGAGGAGGGGGAGGAGGAGGCGGAGCTGGCAGCGAGGGCCGGAGGTGGAGTGTGCTTCAGGAGACCACTAAACATCTGCAAGAGAAGTAAAATATCTATAAGTATCAACTAAAATCTGAAAGTAATCAATAGGGATGTAACAATATCCAAATCTCACGGTACGATATTTATTTCGATATTTTGGAAAGGCTAACATAATTGTAGATATGACAATTTTTTGCTTTTAAAATACCATGACAAGATTTTGGTGTGAATTATTTCCATCATAATCCCAAGAATTCAAGTAGAAAACATATCTTCATATTGTCTGCACTGAAATGAATCATGGGATATGTAGTTTCTGATGATCATAAGATGTTGCTACTGTAAAACAATGCATTTAAGCAAACGAAATTGTAATTCGATATATTGTGGTGGTCAACGATGTTATTGAGACTTTTGACGATACGATAGCACAATATTTTGGTTATTGTTACATCCCTACTAATCAATACTAAAACTAGATCCAAAATTCAGCAAGTATCGATAGTGAAAAAGTCACATTCACAGGACAGAGAGTAAACCTGAATAGCTTTAGAATGATTTTGAGCAGAATCAGAACAGATATAAGAGCACGTGAATAAGTATACGCCCATGGACCACTACGGAACCTACATGGACCTGAGGGATTACACAGATAAAAGACCACATGGTAATATAAAAGCAAGTATTATGTATTATTTAATCCTGAAAATTACTATGGCGTAAGAAAGCTTTTGAAAAATTTGTGTGCATACGATAAAAATCTGTGCATATTTGGCTGAAGTTAAGCATAAAATAAATATTCGTAAACTCTTGAATGAGTTTACGATGTCATACATAAAATGTATTGTGTGTATTTTATCCATCAGAATACGAATTGGAAAGTTACAACGTCAAGAATTACAATCACGAAATGAAAATTTACGATTATACTTTCTTCAGTACAAACACAAATTCACAGATGCAACTTTACTGTCAAAAATACATCATCACTTCACAGGCTTTATTTATTGAGAAAGAAATGTTGATTGAGATGTTGGATTTTTGCGCCACATACGGACTGAACCAGGACTGAACCAGGAACCAGGACCGAACCAGGACTGAACCAGGACTAAACCAGGACTAAACCAGGACTAAAACAGGACTAAAACAGGACTAAAACAGGATTAAAGCAGGACTGATCCCAGACTGAACCAGGAGGACTAAATCAGGACTAAACTAGGATTAAAACAGGACTGAACCAGGTCTAAAACAGGACTGAGCCAGAAATGATCCCAGACTGAAACAGGAGGACTAAACCAGGACTGAACCAGGACTAAAACATGACTAAAACACAAATAAAAAGGACTAAATCAGGACTGAACCAGAACTAAAACAGATAAAACAGACTAAAACAGGACTGATCACAGATCTCAGACTGAACCAGGAGACTAAACTAGGATTAAACAGGATTAAAACAGGACCGAACCAGGAAACCAGACTGAACCAGGACTGAACCAGGACTAACCAGGACTAAACCAGGACTAAACCAGGACTAAAACAGGACTAAAACAGGATTAAAGCAGGACTGATCCCAGACTGAACCAGGAGGACTAAATCAGGACTAAACTAGGATTAAAACAGGACTGAACCAGGTCTAAAACAGGACTGAGCCAGAAATGATCCCAGACTGAAACAGGAGGACTAAACCAGGACTGAACCAGGACTAAAACATGACTAAAACACAAATAAAATAGGACTAAAACAGGACTGAACCAGAACTAAAACAGGAGTAAAACAGTACTAAAACAGGACTGATCCCAGGACTGATCCCAGACTGAACCAGGAGGACTAAACTAGGACTAAACCAGGATTAAAACAGGACTGAACCAGGACTGAACCAGAAATGATCCTAGACTGAAACAGGAGGACTAAACAGGACTGAACCAGGACTAAACCAGACTAAAACATCACTGAACCAGGACTGAACCAGACTGAACCAGACTAAACAGACTAAAACAGGACTAAAACAGGACTAAAGAGGACTGGTCCCAGGACTGATCCCAGACTGAACCAGGAGGACTAAACTAGGACTAAACAGGATTAAAAACAGGACTGAACCAGAAATGATCCTAGACTGAAACAGAGGAGTAAACCAGGACTGAACCAGGACTAAAACAGGACTAAAACATCACTGAACCAGGACTGAACCAGGACTGAACCAGGACTGAACCAGGACTGAACCAGGACTAAAACAGACTACTAAAACAGGACTAAAACAGGACTAAAAAAGAGGACTGGTCCCAGGACTGATCCCAGGACTGAACCAGGAGGACTAAACTAGGACTAAACCAGGATTAAAACAGGACTGAACCAGGACTGAACCAGAAATGATCCTAGACTGAAACAGGAGGACTAAACCAGGACTGAACCAGGACTAAAACAGGACTAAAACATCACTGAACCAGGACTGAACCAGGACTGAACCAGGACTGAACCAGGACTAAAACAGACTAAAACAGGACTAAAACATGACTAAAACAGGACTAAAAAACTAAACAGGACTGAACCAGGACTGAAACCAGGACTGAACCAGGACTAAAACAGTACTAAAACAGGACTAAAACAGGACTAAAACAGGACTAAAACAGGACTAAAAGAGGACTGGTCCCAGGACTGATCCCAGGACTGAACCAGGACAGAACCAGGACTAAACTAGGACTAAACCAGGATTAAAACAGGACTGAACCAGGACTGAACCAGAAATGATCCTAGACTGAAACAGGAGGACTAAACCAGGACTGAACCAGGACTAAAACAGTACCAAAACAGGACTAAAACTGGACTAAAACAGGACTAAAAGAGGACTGGTCCCAGGACTGATCCCAGGACTGAACCAGGAGGACTAAACTAGGACTGAACCAGGACTAAACCAGAACTAAACCAGGACTAACCCAGGTCTTCATACATAAATAGTCTATGATTCGTACTGAAAAAGTGTTTCATTTTTTTCAAAGTTTTCATTTCGTGATTATAATTCTTGAAGTCATAACATTTCAATTTATATTCTGATGGATAAAGTTTTTGCACAGATTTCTATCCTACGCACATGAATATTTCTGAAAGCTTTCTTACTCCATAAATGACATTCTATCATCTTGTCTTGTGTTTTTATTATCACTGTGGAATCAAGATCGGTTTTGAGTATCAAGATGGATTCAAGTTTGGATTTTTGTTATCGTGACAACACCGCCATCTGTACATGATGTATTTTCTTGTTCTAAAATAAAGACGTGTGCTGGTGAGACACGGTGCAGTTGTGTTGTGATCACTGCTGTCACAGACAAACAGTTATTCTTGCATCAAATATCTGACTCAGTGCACGCTCCAGTCAGCCTCAGATCATCTCCATCTCATCCTCGGTCTGCACACAACAACATCTACTGCATAAAGAAGAGCTACAGAGAGAAAGGTCTCCAAATCTCTCCAGACAGGCCTAAGCAGAGTGCAGAGGTAACATTTACTGTGTAATAATCATGTCAAATCTAAATATTTCTACATAAACTTTATCTGCTCCATGTTATAATGTTTGTACTTCATCAAAAACATATCCGCAGTGGAGTTTTGTTTCATTCACACATGTTTAACAAGTAAACCCTGCACATTTAAGATGAGGTCTTCTTTCAAACTGAAAACACTCTGTTCCTCCTGGTAATACAGGAATTGCTCCACTGCTTTTTTAAACTCCAAACAGTTTCACTAAAATCATTTGGATAATTTCAGCCCTCGATTTGCCAAGCTCTACTGAACTAAAGGTAAAAGGTAGCTGATAACTTCCGCTTCATGACATCACACGGTGGAACAGGGCATTTTGAGTTTTAGAGATGTAGACTAAGGCTACGTTTACACAGATGTTGAGAAGCGAATATTTCCCTCCCTCCATTTTCCAAAATAACATCGAGCACATTGCATTGTTTTCAAAAAAAGTTTTCTTTTATATCGACCTGCATAAATACGCCACAGAGCGCCATCATAACTACACCAAACCTCTGGGCGGCACCTGGATTAGATTCAAACCTGTAACATTTATTTCATTACAGTTGTAAGTATTACTGAAAAATACCTTAAAAAACATGCAGTACTGAGCAGGCTCGCCTCTCCACAGATCTGTTAAAGAAGTGGTAAAATCACTGACCTCCGAGCCTCATTCGTCTCTAGTCATGGACATGAAACATCAGCTGTGTGTGAAAATGCAAACACATGAAAAGTGTTTGCACCAGAAAAAACACGACTGCTGCTCTGATGCACCATGATCATCAGAGCAAAAGGGAAACAGTGGTCGCACTTTTGGTGCGTCAGCTCCTGAAACTCTGTTTATCTCACTTTTCATGCAAATGCAAAACCCATAGTTTTCCAGAATCTCAAGTCTAGCCGGGGTTTTAGAAAGATTTGTTTTGGAGGGAAATTTTGCCGTTTGCGTGTAAACGATGGGTACAAACGAAGGGAAAGAGTTACTCAAACTTGAGAATGAAACAAAACACAACTCCAGGTCTGTTTTTGATGAGGTAACAACATTCTAACATGGCTTAAAGCTCAACAAGAGTCAATTTTGTATAGTACAGTAGTACAAGATCTTAAAAAATAAGGGAAAATTATTCATTTCAACTAGCACAATTAATCACCAGAAATTAAATAAATCGCAAAAACATTGAGATCTGCCATGAATGTACTTGTATTGTTCATTTGTAAGTGGAAAATCTGTTTCTTGTTTTTATTTTTTGGTTTAGCCTTAGTCAAATTTTCCTGTTGACCAAGTTTGTTAAAGTGCCTGTGCTCTCTGTATTTTATTCTGTTTAAGAGAATACAGAACTGTGAGAAACTAAAGGTTTGCATTCTTTTACTTAAAAACCCTTTAAGGATATTTAATGCTGCCTGCTAAAATAATTGTGTAGACAGAATAATAAAAAATAAAACCATAAAAAAGTCAAATTTTCATGATAAGGTAACATAAGATATACATGCATATTCAGCATGATTTAATCAAATTTCATCAACATGAAAAAGTGACATTTATG